TGAAATGGTCTCTCGGGGAAGTAAACCGTAACCAGGCATGCCGTGAGTGGGTTGAGCATAATGTGGCAGAACTTCACCGGGTCTATGAGCACGTGGTTAGATACATAGAATCGAGATATGAAAAGCTTTGTCTTTCACTTCACTTACCCTGCGGCAATGAGAAGCAGCCTCTTCCGCTCCTGAGGCACACCATATTCGTCACATCCCAGTACCGACCAGCGAACAGAATATCCAAATTCGACCATGTCCAGTACAACTCGGTTAAATATAACAGGAAATCGTTGCGGCAATCCCATGGTTTCCTCCATAGTCAACATCCGGGGACGTGATTCTCGAATTAGGCTTCCAGCCGAAAAGACGCAGGCGGAGTTGGCGTCATCACGAGGACAGGGCACAGTATGAGCTGGAGACCAAGTTTGGCAGGGGGGTGAGCAGTGTGCAATATCAACTCGTAGGAATCTCGAATCGTTGGTAAGAAAACTGAAAAAGTCTGAATGCTCAACCTCTACGTCGTCAAAATTCAGCTGATATGTTTCCAGTGCATATTTGTCGATATCAACGGCCCATTGAAGCTTCACGCCAGATTGCTTGGCCCCGCAAGACACACCACCAGCACCACAGTAGGCGTCACCGAAGGTGTATGCACGGTCAGGGGCAGTCAGATCAATCACGCCCTGTCGTTCAAGATCCCTAGCCATAGAAGACGCCCTAGCCTCACCGAAAGGTACAGTCGGCCCTCTCCATTCGGCACGCAGCTGGTTCGCGGGTTTGCCAAGTCCTGGGTCTGATTCGGAAAAGTTCAACCATTCAATTGCACACTGCTCTGCACTCAAAGGTGCGTGGCCAGGGATAATGACAACCCCGTTCTGGCGAATAGTGAGCTTCAGTCGGCAAGTCAGTTCTGCTCCCGGTGTGAGATTGTTGAAATCAGTACGATAGTTGGTGAAGCGAACGGGCACAACCCGTCTAACTCTCTTGATGCTGATGTGGTCTGTGTTCTGAGTGAGCCAGACCAATTCATCGTTGAGTTTTGGAAGGTATGTCTTGGCTTCGGGGTGAGTCGTGCGGTAAAGACGCCTGCCGAAAAAACGCAGGTCGTGAGGTTGAGGAATTATGTCTTCGACACGCATGAAAGAGCCATCATCAAGCTCCAAGCAAATTCCAGCTTTGAACACAATACCCCCAATGTCTATTCCTTGCTGCGCTGTCTCTGGCGTTGGGCTGCAGCTGGCAGACTGGTTACTGAGGAGAGAAGAGTTGCCGGAGGAAGACCGGACACTCGCTGAGTCGTCACCGGGGGCGATGGCGGAGGGAGCCGCAACTTTGGCCATGTCAGAGGTCAATTCTTCCATATCTTGACTGCTTTCATCGTCGCAAGTCAGGTCAATCACGGTATGCATGTTCTCGGCGGGGAGGAAGGGGATTTGACTGGCCTCCTGCGTGGGTGAAGTAATAAAGATTTCCAATGGATCCAACATGATGATATCGTTGTCAGGCATTGTTGGCTCATGAGTTACTGCTCGAAACTCCGCCGTGCTGACAGAAATCGGGTCTCCAAAGGGAGACACCGAAATACGGGATCGATCATTGATATCAGCCATTGGTGTGATGCTTGACGGATGAAAATGTTCCATAATCGGTTTATGTGAGGATGCAAAGTCCAGGTTTGAAATCAAGGTAAAGAAAACAAATCTCAATATCAAGCCGATGGATGATCTTGGGATCTAATAGGATCTCAAGTTCAGATGACTTCAGAACCACATCTACTGCTATAGCCGGGTGTTCGAAAGGATCTTGCGCAGATAAACACAATTTGGCTTGGACATGTGATGTAAATAGAAGTAGTGGAAGGCTTTGCCAGATCTTCTATTCATAACAAGCCAAGTGAAGCAACTCTTACGGATTCGTCTATGTATTTCTACCTGGTCAACAAAGCAGAGACGATATCTAGTTTTGTGAAGCATGAAAGACCGGTATAAGGCCATGGTATTCATGTCATCTCATTGAAGGTGACTCTTCCAATCTAAGGCTGTACATCCATGTATGTTATCAACATCAACTCTATACAACATAGACGCTTGTCCCGTTCGGGATAGTAGGGCATGGGCCCCGGGAATATGTGGGGCACTGCTTACTCATGACATCGCCCCGAGGTCGGCCCGGGCAAGAGAAGAGAAAATTTAATTCTGTGGGGCAGCACAACGACCGAAGAAACACCACTACCATGGAATATTTTCCTCCCTCTTTCTGTCTTCTTGGGGTGGTGTTCATTTCTGGTGATGACCATTCTCTAAACTTCACTCCTTCTTTTACGTGATCTGGTTTTGGTAAGTCGCATGGTTTTATTGTTTTTGGCTTTCGGCTTTATTCAAAGCATCCCCTCTTCTCCCTGTCTCTTATGATGAATTATGGTTTTTTTATAGATGTTAGACTTCCTAAACAATTGTTGCGGAGAAAACACCTGAACTGATTTGAGACACTGCAATCTTGTTATACACTGTGAATGCAATGGATGAACACTGGTACTAATTCTCTTCGTCCATCACAGAAAACCTACCCTCCGTCAGGATGTGTGGTATCATTGCGCTGATCCAGGCGAACCCCTCATCTGCGGCCGCCGTGGATCTCCACGAGGCACTTTACCTTCTCCAACGTGAGTTCCGGCCAGAATATATACTCCTGCGACCGCGAGGCTAAAGGTTTCGGTATCACAGATCGTGGTCAGGATGCAGCCGGTATTGCGACATGCGCGTCCGGCGGTCGTATCTACCAACTTAAGGCCAACGGCATGGCTGCTAAGGTCTTCCAAGAAGGTGCTAAGGTGGCCAACCTCCCCGGCTCCATGGGTATTGGCCATCTGCGGTATCCGACCGCAGGATCCAGTGCCAACGCCGAGGCCCAGCCGTTCTACGTGAACAGCCCCTACGGTATCTGCTTCGCGCACAACGGTAACCTGATCAATGCCGGGGACCTCAAGAAGCACCTTGACCTTGAAGCCCACCGTCATATCAACACCGATAGTGACAGCGAGCTGATGCTCAACGTCTTCGCTGACGAACTAAGCGAGACCAAGAAGGCCCGTGTCAACCACGAGGACCTCTTTGCCAGCTTAACCCGCATGTACAAGCGTTGCGAGGGTGGATGGGCCTGCACTGCTATGCTTGCTGGTAAGTTAGCAATCATTCGTGGTCCCCTTTAGTCTATAGTACTAACTCGCAATCTAGGCTTTGGAATCTTGGGTTTCCGTGACTCATACGGTATCCGTCCCCTCATTTTGGGCTCTCGTCAGTCCGCGGATGGACCTGGCATGGACTACATGATGTCTTCTGAATCAGTAGCTCTGGACCAGCTGGGTTTCACCAACCACCGTGACATTCAGCCTGGTGAGGCGGTTATCATCGCCAAGGGCGGTGAGCCGGTATTCCGCCAGGTGGCTCCTAAGAAGGCCTATGCCCCGGATATTTTCGAGTATGTCTACTTCGCTCGTCCTGACTCCATCATGGATGGCATCAGTGTGTACCGTAGCCGGCAACGCATGGGCGACCGTCTCGGTGCACGGATCCTCGATGTCCTGGGTCCCGAGGTTGTGAAAGACATTGACGTGGTCATTCCTATTCCTGAAACGGCTACTACGTCCGCGTCCAATGTCGCACTATACCTCAACAAGCCTTACTGTCACGGTTTCGTCAAGAATCGTTACGTCTTCCGCACTTTCATCATGCCGGAGCAAAAAACACGGCAGAGGGGTGTCCGCCGCAAGCTCAATGCCATGAAGGCTGAGTTCAAGGACCGCAACGTCCTGCTGGTTGATGACAGTATTGTGCGTGGTACTACCAGTCGCGAAATTGTCAACATGGCCCGGGAAGCTGGCGCCAAGAAGGTCTACCTTGCCAGCTGTGCGCCAGAGATCACACATGCTCACATCTACGGTATCGACCTTGCCTCCCCTCAAGAGTTGGTTGCACACAATCGGAACTCAGAGGCCATCGCCAAGCACATTGGCGCGGAGGCGGTTGTCTTCCAAACTCTGCCCGATCTCAAGGACGCCTGTGCCGATGTTGCCCGTGAGAATGGTCAGGAAGAGCCTACAAACTTCGAGGTTGGCGTCTTCTGTGGTAGCTACGTTACCCCCGTTTCATCCGGTTACTTCGAGCATCTCGAGTCCGTCCGTGGCGAAGGCCGCAAGGTCAAGGCTCTTGACAAGGCCAAGGAGGCTGTCACCAATGGCTTTGCCAACATGACCGACTTCCAGATCGCCGCCCACGGAGTCACCATGGACACCAATGGCAAGATTATTCCTGCCATGGATAACGAGTCGTCGGTGATTGGTACCGCCAAGCAGGCCAGCAAGCCCGAAGACCAACACAACCCGAAGGTCTCCGACCGCATGGACATTAGCATCCACAACCAGGCTGACCATGAGGCATGATTACGAGACATCTGATTTTAATCTTTTTTTAATTTTTTTTTCTCCACCATTTTGGTAATTTGCATTGGGTGTCTGGGCGTTTGTTTGAGGGAGCATATGTGCTGAGTGGCTGTTCGTGGCTACATGATGTGGAAATGATGTGGAAATGCATTGAAAATGCCAATACCCGGTGTCTTGAGATACACTTGTCAATAACTCTTGATGAAGCTAAAATAAATGCAATATTCCAATGTTGTTGAAGTCATGCTGTTTTTTATTTTGGCCATTGTCCCAAAGAGGTAGGTCACGTGCCCAAATGGCCAGTAGCATCACCTCATTCCCTCCGCATAATCGGCAGATCCATAATGCGATCATCTGCGCTGAACATCTTTTATCCTTTTAACTCGGACTCCTCATTGATGGTTAAAATTGATTGATACACCTTGGTATATCGGTTATCGGTCATCGGTCCTCGGTTATCGGTCAGTCGGCCATCGGTCATCGGTCATCGACTCTTGTACCCAAGGCTGTCTATGCAAGATTGAAGGAAATCGACACTTGCTGCAGGCCGTCTAGCCTGACCTTCTCTATCATGGAATGCCGCATTACGCGATCCGCAGCACGGGCTGCCGCTGCATTGATTGCGAAAGAAGAAAACAGCCCTTCGGTCACTCAAGCACCAAACACTACCAAAGCGAACAAACGAAAGCGTCTCAACTCCACTGGCAATTCCAATGCCTCTGATGCTATGAATACAACCAAGATTAACACTATCACTGATTTGAAATCCCCCAGTAATTATAATACCACGATTAAGCAAGAGAAGCCGGTGTTGCCCCCAGCCTTGTTCGATGAACTCCCTCACAACCTAGGAGCTGCCCCGGCCCCATTGTCTATAGCAACAGAGCCCACAGTCGCAATTGCTGGATCTGACAAGGAAAATCAAACTGTAAAGGGGAATCAGGTCATAAATCTGGCTACTGAGCTTCAAGACACCGTGGACAAAGCTGCAAGGAAGCTGAAGAAAGAACCCAAGATGCAAACTACCCCAACCGGCCGCAAGCCAAAGAAGATTACTTATGGCTTGACACCTGGTATCTCTCCTTTCCCCGAACTGGTTCGACCAACCCCCGAGGAGTGTGAAAATGTCAATCGGCTGTTGTCCAGCATTCATGGAGTAGTCACTGCCCCAGCAACCATCCCTGAACCCTCCCTGACAGTCACCGGGTGTGGTGAGGTCCCATCTGTTCTGGATGCTTTAATCCGCACCCTTCTCAGCGGTGCGACCACAGGCAACAATGCTGCCAAGGCCTTTAGTGGACTTGTGCAACGATTCGGCGTTCTTTCAGAAGGCATCGGGAAAGGAAGCGTGAATTGGGATGCCGTACGACAGGCCACTGTGAAAGATGTGTTTGAAGCGATCAAAAGCGGCGGCTTGGCCGACATCAAAAGCAAGAACCTCAAGGTGATTCTTGACATAGTCCACGAGGACAACCAGGCACGCCGAGCTACATTATTAGATTCTGAGTCCAATAACGACTCAATGTCCAAGCTGGCACCTGAAAAGGCTGAAAAGGACAAGCAATACGAGATTGCCTGCGCGGATCAGAACTTCCTCTCCCTCAACCACCTCCACAATCTCAGCACTGAAGAAGCCATGACCGATCTGATCAAGTACCCGGGAATTGGACCCAAAACAGCCGCCTGCGTGATCTTGTTCTGCCTTCAGCGGCCCTGTTTCGCCGTCGACACCCACATCTTCCGGCTCTGTCGCTGGCTCGGATGGATTCCTGCTCGTGCAAACGAAGTAACTGCCTTCAGCCACCTGGAAGTGCGCATTCCCGACCACTTGAAGTACTCGCTCCATCAGCTGTTCATCCGGCATGGGAAGACCTGCCCCCGGTGCCGAGCTGCTACCGGCGAGTCCAGTGCTGGCTGGGAGGACGGCTGTGTCATTGATCACCTGTTAACTCGCGACGGGAAGCGCAAGGGCAACGGTCCGACTGTGGTTTCAAAAAAGAAAGCTGCTGCTAAGAGCACGGCTAGTAAGCGCAAGAGGTCGAACAAGGACTCCGAGGAGGAGACTGACGAAAGCGAGAGTTCGATTTCCGATGAAACAAGTGACGATTGAACGCACTTACGGCAACGAAACTATGTGAAATGACGGTGGAATCTTTACGAAATGAAGATTGATCACATCGATTTATGACGGTTAATGGCTTAAGCTCAATATTTGTACTCTATATTATTATCTATTTACCGTATTTCTCTTGCTCTCAATACAAGTGTATCATCATTGCTAAATACAAACATCAATTTCTGAAGTTCAGTCTTCTGATATTCCTAAATCTTCGCCAGTCTATGTTGTATGGCACGACTTAGCCCTGGAGTACCCCTGGGGCTGGGTGGACACTTATCGCCTTATCGCAAACACAAAAGTCTCCAGGAACTCCCTTTACTCTCCCAGCAACAATTTCCAGTTGTCCAATTGCACCATTCCCGCCATGGATTGTCTGGCATCCCACATTCCGCCCTCGCTGCGCACTCTTCTGGAGGCCTACGCGCCTCCCGGGTCGGCAGAGTACGCCCCGCACATCGGAGTCGCGTTCGCCTCCCTTGTCGCCGTATACGTGGGGTACCTCTACCTCCAGAGCTGGAGAGAGGTAGCGGTCGTTTTCAATGTTCCTATCCCATCCGAAGTACGCAAGAGCGGATCGATCAAGACATGGGATGAGGTTCAGGGGCAGCAGAAAATGGTCTTGCAGGATCAAGCTCGCGGGGTGAGTTAACAAGCCTAGTCTTTGGCTCGGGATTATTTCATTGCGGCATCTGTTTCTTGTACTTAAGCTAATTACTTGTCTACTACGCAGAAATGGAACCATCAATTGATTATGAGCTACAGTCCTGCCGATGGGAGGGTGCTTGGTAACGGAATCAAGCCCGCCACAGTCGAAGATGTCAACAAGGCCGTTCAGGTTGCGGGAGCTGCTCAACCAGAGTGGGCAAAGACTACCTTTGCGGAGCGCAGAAAGGTTCTCCGGACACTGTTGAAGTATGTGGATTGACAAATTTTCTCCGTCCTATGAATTGCGCGTTGCCTACGGCGCCCCTAAGGCTTGTCCAACTAACATCTCGCAGATATGTCCTAGACCACCAAGATGACCTCGTTACCGCATGCTGTCTCGATTCAGGTAAAACAAAAGTTGACGGCTCATTCGGCGAGATCCTTGTGACAGTGGAGAAGCTCAAGTGGACAATCGACCATGGCGAGAAGGCACTACGACCAGAGCGGCGGCCGACCAACTTCCTGATGATGTACAAAAAGAACACGGTCACATACGAACCACTAGGCGTGGTGGGTGCCTGTGTGTCCTGGAACTACCCTTTACACAACTTCATCGGTCCGATCATCAGCGCGCTGTTTACCGGTAACGCAGTTGTTGTCAAACCGTCCGAGCAGACCGCATGGTCTGCAATCTACTTCCTTGATATGGTGCGTGGCGCGCTCTCTAGCTGTGGCCACTCACGCGACCTGGTCCAGTCGCTAGTCTGCCTACCCAATGTTGCCGATACATTCACCTCGCACCCTGATATCGCGCATATAACCTTCATTGGATCCCGACCCGTTGCTCACCATGTATGCACTTCGGCAGCCAAGTCTCTCATCCCTGTATGTGTCGAGCTGGGTGGTAAAGATCCTGCCGTGATCCTGGACGACCCCCGCACTCTTCACAATATCTCCTCCATCGCTTCTATCCTCATGCGCGGTGTCTTCCAATCGTCTGGTCAGAACTGCATCGGCATCGAGCGTATCGTCGCCCTCCCCAGCGCATACGAACGACTAATCGAAATTGTAACCCCACGCATTCAAAATCTCCACCTCGGCTCCGTCCTCCTCGACGCCACAACTCCAGACGTCGGTGCGATGATCTCACCTGTCTCCTTCGCGAAGCTGGAGGCACTCATCAACGAAGCCGTGCAACAAGGCGCACGTCTCCTCGCCGGCGGCACCGAATACAAGCACCCAGTCCACGAACACGGCCACTACTTCACACCAACCCTACTAGTAGACGTGACACGCGACATGCGGATCGCGCAGACAGAGCTCTTCGCCCCAGTCTTCCTTATGATGCGCGCCGAGTCCGTATCGGACGCCATTGCCATCTCGAACTCAACGCCGTACGCACTAGGCGCCAGTGTCTTCGGACACCGACAAGCGGACGTACAAGCCTGCGTGTCGAAAATATCTGCCGGGATGGTAGCGGTCAACGACTTCGGCGCCTTTTACGCTGTGCAATTGCCGTTCGGTGGCGTGCGCGGATCTGGGTATGGCCGGTTCGCGGGCGATGAGGGGCTGCGCGGTCTGTGCAATGTCAAGGCGGTTTGCGTTGACTGGTTCCCTACTTTAATTGGCACTGGTATCCCACCGCGCGTGGATTATCCTATCCAGAACCGGGAGAACGCGGCGGATGCTAAGGGTGGGGTTGCGGCTTGGGAGATGTGTAAGGGTATTGTTGAGACGGGATATCAGTTGACGCTGGGTGGGCGTATTGCTGGTATTTCCCGGTTGTTGAGGAATCTGTGATGGGTTGGCTACTCGGGAACTCATTCCAAAATTCTTGTTTCATATCGATATTTTTGTACTATACATACTCTATCTTGCTATCGGTAATACCTCTAGCTGTAGGAATATTTAATTCAGAGTAAATTATTATTACAGATTTTATATGTGGGACTATATGTTAAATGACAGAAAATCTAACATCCGGGTATAGCGCTAACAATAAAGTCCTGGTGAGACTAATCGGAACAATCTCATGGAGGAAGAGGGGGACCGAACTTCTTCAGCCAGTGATCTTCAGTTCGGAACGAACTCTCCATCATCCAATTCCCCAATGGTTCACGGAAGGCATCAAGAACCTCATCGACAAAGCGGCCGCCCTCAAAATCCGTGACATCCAACTGACCATTACAGAACAGCTGACCAGTCGGGTATTCATGGGCATACTCAACCTTCGCAGGGAGACGCAGCAGGAAATTCGACAACCAGCGCGCAAATTTACCATTAGTCTGATTATAAGTATTCGGGTTCTTCTTCGCAAGTTCCATATTGTCGACAGTCCACTTCGTGATCTCGGATGACCAGCTAGGCAAAGACTCTGCACTAGCACGGAGGAGAGCCTCGAAGAAATCCAAGTTGAGATGTGGCTTGTCGCGGCCAGTGCGGGTAACAGCGAGGAAATGTTCGGATGGAATCGTATAGTAAACGCCACGGCGTTGGTTCTCTGCTTTATAGCGGAAGAGGAACTCGTCGATTTTGAGGAGGCAGAGCATGGCGTCGAGGTTCTGGTGACGAATTGCGTTCTGGATTCCTTCATTCAGGGCTTTGCGGTCGACCTTAGTCAGAGTCGAGGGTGACAAGGAGCTCTTTGGAGGGGTCCAATTGCACGAGGTCATGCGCAGCATCTCTAGGAAATCAACGTCTTCCGGAAGGAAACCGTTGCTGCGGCCTCGGAGGAGATGGGATGGGAATTTGCACAGGTCCAATGCAGGGATATTGACGGTCAACCCCACATCCACACATTGGAGCTCGGTGGTGACCATTGGCATAATATGGAGCTTGTATTCGTGGATGCCTTTCATCGCGTTCGGGGCCATCCGGAAGAACTCTGGGGGCATGCTAGCTAGTTCCTTCATTGGGCCGCCCTTGCCATGGAAAATGCGGACGCTGTCGTCTTTACGTGCTATGAGCTTTTCAAACGCATCCTGCTCTTCCTTCTCCGTCACAATACCGGCGTTGATCCAGCGACGGTAGATACTTAGGATCTGCATTGTCGGGACCTGTTCGCGCACGCGGTCCACGGTACACCACCTGCACTTGAATACGGATTCTTGTAAGCGGGCGCGCTCGTCTAGTTTGAGAGGAACATAGTCGAGCGGGACCATCATGCGCTCAATGGCCTTGCTACGGGGGTTGTCGAGCGCATCATTCCAGAACGCAAGGAGGATGAGAGCGCGATAGATGTGTTCACCGGAGAGGGCGCGGGATAGGAACGGCGAAGCTCGGGGGAAGTTTAGATTGAGCGAGTGCAGGAAGATCTGCTCGATAATCTCGACTGGGAGGGCCTCGAGGATGGACATCCTGCGGGGAGTATGCGGGCGCGAGATTCTAGGTTTAGGCGAATTAATAGGACGGTCGTAGGGGCTCGACCTCGACCGGGAGGATCGAGAGGACCGAGAGGACCGAGATGAGCTGCTCCGAATCGGGTTCTTGAAGGTGCGACCTGGCCGGCGCTTCGATTTGGGGATAGGTGAGCTGCGTGCGGGCTCCGGCGGAGCGAGCTTGGTCCGCGTCACAAGTTCATCTTCGCCTTTTGGGGGGCCCATGGAGCATTTGAGCCTTCTCGCTATCTGCAGTAGATCAATCTTTGAGCATGTATCATTTCTGATTCGTGTGTGATGACTTCAATTGCAGTATGTTGCATATAACCTCGGAAAGTATACAACGTTGCAGGCCAAGTCCGGGCCTACCCTCGTCTGATTGGCGGAAAAGAGCCCGACAGTCAATGGCTTGGCGTTAGGGCTTGGCGTTGGAGGGCATGAAAGTCACATGATAGAACCCCCGCCCGTTGCTAAATTGAGTTTAGCCTGTTATCAAATGACGTCAAAGACTATCAGTAAAAAAAAAGCTATCACAGAAGAATATCATTTGAAAAGGGTGCAACATGGTTAAATTGAAATTAAAAATAGAGCTATTCTTAAACGCTAGACCGCCCATTTAGAATCCATCAATTGCTCCACCAAGCCTCCAATGTAAAGATTCTGTGCTGTCAAAATCAAGGAATGGCCTGGGAGTCTGCGTCGAGATGACGGAATGATGGAGTTAACACACCCCTGGTACCTCGTCATTTAGCCATGGGCTCCATTACAAAACATCACCGCTTCTCGTCTTCGATCTTTCTCTCACATTCTTCCCCAAACCTTGGAATTCTGTCATAGCTTCCCAACGACGTCACTGGCGTCTGCACCTCGTGATTTCTGACGCCTCGCAAGACAAGCTTAACTGCATGAACTCGTCAATCAATCGCCTCTTTCGGACACCACTTACGTATCTAAACAAGAAACATCTGTCCCTGTCTTGAGACGATCATCATTACCATTCATTATTTAAAGCACCTCTCCATCTACTTCATTATCTTCGATATGCACCCTTTCAGTGATCCAACCGTCCACACACACGCTTCCTCTAGCTCAGAGTCTACTCTTACCTCCAAACCAAAATAAACCAACACCCTGATACAAACCCCAAGAAAAGCTCTTCATCTTCAATATGGGTGCCGTGGTTTCTTGCGTATGTGAACTGCATCTGCTTCCAGGAAAACTCAACTAACATAACATACCTACCTCTTAGATCCAAAGCGTCTTCCGCGCCATCGGTAGCTGCCTTATGGCCATAGTCAACGCTATCGGCTCCATCTGCCACGCCATCATCAGCGGTGTGGTCACAGTGATCGATGTTATCATCTCCTGCCTGACCTGCGGCTACTGTGGAAAGCGCCGGCGAGGTCGTCGATCAGCAGTCTGATAGGAAACAAACTATCCTGTCTATAGACACACCTATGAGTCCATGAGGATAGAAGGCTTATGCGTTCTACGATTGTTATGCCGGCGCCAATTTTCTTTCGTTATTTGGAGTTTATACCCCGTGGTGCAGTTTTTAATTGTCAATCATGAATCGAATCTGGGTTTTGAAACACTTGATATCGACGTATATTGTTTGTCTTCCGTAGAGGATTGGCATGTAGAATAATGTCTATACACATGGTAAGTGTCTGAACCATAGACATGAAATTGGATATATATGATTTGAACATGCACTAGCGAGTCTAAATCCTGTTCAAGAAGCAATTATATCAATCCCCGTCTTTGGGCGAGGAGGACTCAATATATCGCAGCAAATCCTGCTTTGCTTCTGGGGGTATATCATCCCAACGCTCATTCAAGATAACATTTGCAAACGGATCTCCTGGTCCGCTTCCATAGCGCCGGACGAGAGAATAATGTGAATGCTGTAGCGGCCAGCGCGCAGGGACACGACAGTTTGCAGCACGGAACGATATACGCAGCAAGCGACTAAAAGGCTCGATCTTACGCGTTCGAATGAGACGATACGTAATCTCAGAGGATCGATCTGGCCTGGCCTCATCCTCTTCCAGGTAGAAGTCCGAAGAGAGCAGGTGTAAGAACTCAAACTGCGCATCCGACCAGGGCGAGCGCAAGACCTTATCCGGAATGCGGCCAGGTCCAATAGCCACTGAGCATGGCAGCCGGAAGAGGTCGTTCTCATGGTATATCTCGTGGGGTTTACGGATCTGGACAGCGCCAAAATGGAACCATATTGCCACTTTGCGGTCGACATTGCGAGATGACGGGGTCCGCAATGTTTCCCCAAGCTGTGCGGGGATAACTAGATCCCCTTTACCACGCCGGCCAAGTACGGCCCAATCACAGACTTCTAGGTTTTCGAAGCGTGGGTCCAGATTTGACAGCACTTTTTGGTCGTCTGGATGGAAGACCAGGCCGGCACATTTGCGTCGGATGGCATGGGCAACGTACTCACGCTGACATTTCCGCAGCAGAGAAAATGTGCACCACCGACATGCCAGCAGGTCGGTCTGTAATTTTTGGCGCTCTTTCCAGGACAAGGCCCAGAAGTCCAAAGGTGGGGGTAGGAAATCCGGGGTAAAGAAGCCCTCCCGCGAGCCTGAGTTGGGACTGCTGAATGCAAGCCGAATGAGCCAGGTATAGAGCAATGGAGTGGACAGTGCTTGGCTAAGACGCGGTGAGGCACGAGGGAGATTCACTTCAAGGCTGTGAAGAAATATCAACTGCAGGATTTCCACAGGCAGTGACTCCAGGCACGAGCTCGAGTGGTCGGCCAACCGATCAGAGGGGCTTGGGCCCATTTGCAACAGTGCGTCTAGAGGTGATGTGTTCTTATATAGCTTGTATGGTTTGCTCGCAGCAAGACGGTGTTCGGTTATAAATCACACGGCGTGTTATAGTTGTAAAGGGCCAGGGGGGAGGAAGAGCAGAGATGGATATGGTTTATCTTAATGGAAACACATTCCATACGATACCAACTGCAGACTTCGCATAATGTTGCCCCTGTAGCTCCTCGTGACTTGTGGGAAAGACACTTCACAGCGCTTCCAGCGCAGTCTCCAATGAAAATAATTGAAAGGAAAAAGCCCGGCCCATTGCTGAGAGAGGGGTAGGCGAAGTGGGTAAACTGAGGCGAGTTGCGTGTCTTGGCAAGGCCAGCTTGGGAGCTCCTCATCAGGCACGAGATTATGTATGTAGCGTGATCGTCTGCTATACCTAAATGGACTGGATTATATAGCCGGTTAGTGCATCTTGTCGAAGGTTGAAAAAGAAACAGTATTCAATTGATACTCCGTTATATATCCCAACTCGATCCACACGTTCGGACAGAGCTTGCTTGGATATATATTGGACATATCAGATGTTTATTGGCCTTGGGGGGGGGGGGGGGGGTTTTGTTTGTTTTTTTGAGACCACAGCCCATTTCTCCATCACTTGAATAATATTTTAGTCGAGAAAAGTACAAGATTACAGTAGAATCTATCAATGAACGCAGAAACGACAAATGTATTGTTTCTATACACATCCCAACTGCCCCACCACACTATCGGAGGTATCTGACCACACACTGGCTGAATAGCCGTCTTCTTGGCTCCAAAAGTCATGATCACGAAGTGCGATGGAGCAAGGAATAATAAGGCGGATTTGAGGCCACAAGAGTCCACGCTTAGACGGCGGACAGATCGCCGAAGCGCTCCTGCAAAAGGAAATGGTATAAGTATTAAAATACAAGAATTTCTCTCGGCAAGACAGTCAACACATACCTTGTAGCCAGGGGGCATCCACTTGCCCTTGGAGACGAGGGAAGCGGTCTTCTCGTCGATCTCGGGCTGGGCGGCGGCAACCTCGTCCTAAAAAAACAGTCGGGTAAGTAATTATTCCAATTCCACAGTCTGCAGCATATAATACGTACGACAGTGAGGTCCTCGAAGGGACGGGCGGTCTCGATGTTCTCCAGGGTCTTCTGCAGGTTCTGCAGCTCGGCCTCAACCTTACCCTTGGTAGCCTCGGCGTTCTGAACAGCCTGGGACTCGAAGGCCTCGATGGCCTTCAGCTGGCGGTTGACATCGTAGGTAGCGGGCTTGAAGGTCTTGAAGTGGTTCTCGAGCTCATCGATGATGGCCGTGTTCTTCAGAATGCCGCGGTAGTGGCTGAAGTCAACGGTCTGGGGCTGCTCGGACAGGACCTGGACCTTGCGGCGAACGTCATCATTGCGCTTCTTGAAGGCTTGGAGGGAGGTGGCGGTCTGGCCGCGGAGGCCGAGGGAGGTCGACACCTTGGCCCAGTCGATCTTGAGAGCGGCGCTGCGCTGTTTTCGGATGAAGGGAGTTAGCGGGAGTCAATCGGACGGGTTGACAGGGGGTTGCCAAGTCGAGGAGCAGTAGCAGAACATACAGCAGCCATTGTGACGGGTATGATAGAGGTTGGGGGTGGGGAGAAGAGAGGGGAGTTCAATGTGCAGGGAGGTGCCGAACGAGGAGCGACCCGGAAGGTTTGGATTGTTCAGGTCACGTGATGTACATTCCGAAATCCACCGTGTATTGTACAGACAAAAGACAAATTACAGACTGGTCGTGTTAATTATTGTAAATAACTTATGCACAGGTCTTATTTTTTTAACATTACGAAGTATATGTATTGATTGGTTGACACAATCATGGGTTCAATTGTTTTTTGGGCTAAATTGTGTACACTATGGGCGACAACATGCCAGATATCTTTCATCCGGCATTATAACCCAAGTCCCTCATAGAACCTTAAATACGGTCACTCATTATATGCTGAGAGCCATGATGGAGTTAACGATATCGTTGTCGTTCTCCCGGAGAGCCTTGACGGCCTTCTTGCGGGAAACGTTTGCTTGTGCCATGACCAGCTCGATATCCTTGGACTCAAGGTTGGACTCATCCACCTCCTCACCATCATCCTCCTCATCCTCCTTCTTATCCTCGGTCTCGGGGGCCTTGGCCTTGCCGAGAATCTCCTCGTGGTCGTGACCGGCGTGGTCGCCAGCGGCCTCGGAGGCAGCGAGCTGCTGGGCGGCGGAAGCCTGGGCCTGGGAGTTCAGGTCCTCAATCTTGGCCTCACCGAAGATGCTAAAAATGTGTCAGTAAATGTCAACCACACATGACTGACTCTAATTGGGTTCCACATACATCCAGCAGTTGCTGTTGGGGGAACGGTAAACCTCGGGCTGGTTGACAACGAAGAGGATCTTTAATTCCAATAATTAGCATCTCCACATTGAGAATGATCAAGATATTCCATCCCGTTGGTAGCTGGTGTTGCGGTTGATGGTCGCAATCACATTGTACTTGGCGGGGCAGAATTTCTCAAGACGGTCGCATCGGGAATCACATACGTTCTTGGGGCGGCGGAGAGTGACACGGGTGATGCCAGGGACGAGCTTCAGGCCGAGCTTGCCAATGGCCTTGCGGGCCTTCTTCTCACCACGGGAGTGGACGGCGACGGAGGCACCGGCGGGAATGTTGGGCTCATCGCCAGCCTCGGAGCCAGACTCAGAGGAGCTCTCCTCGACGGTCTTGGAGACCTCGTCATCGTGGATTTCTTCAACGCGGGGATCAGCCATTTTTGCGGTGTAAAGGGGCCTAAGAAGAATCCGAAAAGAACAGTTGATTAGTTGGGTTGTTTCGTTCGGCAATGGGTGTCAGGGCTGGTTGAGTGGTGTGAGGGCGGGCATAGTGGGAGAGATTCAAGAGATTGGTCAACCTCCCCCACGAATCGCACAACACTCGGGAAAGGGCGGGATTTGACGTTGAAAAGGCGAGAATTCAGTCGAATAAATACTCATACATACCTGAGGGGTAAATATCAAGCTGTTGTGAGTGGGGATGGATTTTGTTGAAGTTGAAGGTGTGTAGCTGTGCGCCAGACCGAACCCGAAAATCATTAGCGAGCGCCCACCCCCAGACTGCCCACCCTGCACACATTGCCCTATATGGAACTACATCACCAATTCTGAACTAGATTGGCTAATAATTTATAGATCTCATCTAGATCAAATTTAAATGTATATAAATAATACAGTTAATACGGTTTCCAGGTCATTATTTACGTATCCGCTCGTTCTATTCTTTTTGTAGAGCCAGATATTCAATATTCCCGTGAAATTGGGGGATATAAAAATGAGTCCAGAGCCGGAGGAAAACCGAATGACAAAAGGCCCCTTTGCCGGGATATCAAGGATTTTGAATCATTTTTGCTGTTCATTGATATGCATACAGCGATTTTGCCAGAGTATTACCAGCAACGGAAACCCTTCCAGGACACCTCCTTCAAACCCATGCACCGAAACCTCGTAATCATCTATGACTTGTTGGCAGCGCGAGCCTTGGCGTGGGACTTCTGGACCTCGTAGCGAGCCTGGAGTTATGTTGTTAGTTGAACTGTTCCTAATTCCCCAGATTATTCGATTGGGTGGGCCCAGGCGCATTGTGCCAGAACGAATCCCCTTTTCGATATTTCCACGTACCTGCTTGCGGAGGCGCAGAACCTTGAAGCGCTCGAAGTCGGACAGGTTCTTGCGGCGCTCGGCGCGGTCGGTGCGCTGAGAGAAGGAGCTCTTGGCCCACTTGCCATCAATCTCGTTCTTAGCCCAAAGCTTCTTCACGGGACCGGTACCGGCAGCACGGGGAAGCTGGGGGATGGTGAAGTGAGTGAGGGTGGCGTGGGCGAGAGGGAGAACGTGACGGGGCACGATCTTCTGCTCCTCGGTGGAGGGACCGTCGACCAGGACCTGAACAAAAAAAAAATCGCAAGTCAATACATATTCCGACTCAAAGATCTCCAAAAATCCGATTCTCCAAATTCTTGTCTCGATTTCCGGGATTCATAGGGCGATTCCACATACACGGCGGTGGTCCACGATCTCAACGATGGCAGCAAGCTTGCCCTCGAAGGGTCCGCTGCGGATCAGCACTAGGCGGCCAACCTCAACCAGCTTCCACGAAGCGACCTTGACATCGATATCGGCCATGGCGAAATTCTGCGAGACGAAAAATTCAGCGTCGCGGTTCTGTAATATTTGGAGATTGCACACTCACGGTCGACAGGGGGTATGAGTCGAGAAGGGGTTGTCGAAAGAGTTCAATTGTCCAAGAGTTGTCTCGAAATTCGGATGTGCCCACACTCGCAACATTCTCGCTTAACCGGCCACTTGCAGGTCTAGGGCTCTGATTATCTAAGCATTCGTATTAACATTTATCCGAACCCGTGCATTTATCTCGTTTTTTTTTGGCGCAGAACTGTTGTTGATCTCTTCAAGCTATTCAGCTTTACAAGCTTAAGACTTTAATGATGAGTCTGCATATGCTTCAATTACGACAATTGCTCACATGTAGCAATTAACTAAGGTATGCTTATATTTCCTCCTTTTTTCCCCCCGGTCTTCCGATCTTCCCCTCATTCCTCATATGATGCCGTAATTTGCGATTGACCCAGTGTCTGTGAGGCCCTCGCCGGGGTTCTCTATACAGCGCTGTCGGATGATATTCAATTTTCTTACATATTCTGATATGGATTATAACCCTTATGTTATGCTGTCAATGCTTTTGAGAGACATCGCGCTGACTGTTGAAAGATTTTAGGACATTGGACTTTATAACTAAAGGACTTCTCGACAACATTGCAACTCTCCATCTTTCCACAGGGTACGTTCACACCATACTCCATCCTCCACAACACCCCCAAGGTCCGATGATTAGAAACTTTTATCACGCCTAGATAGTAATTGAGCTTCTCGCTATGAAATTACCTAACTACCAAGATCTCTGAGAACCTTATCACCTTGCACATTATTGCTTGTTATGTTGGTTGTGGCTAGTCGCTAATCTTCAAAAGAATATAGGATCTCCTGTGTCAGACTAGCAGCTCGCTATCTTATATAGCCATTTCAATGCAAAATATTTTAAAACAAAATCGTTTCCTTCGGTAGCTTAGTCACATAGTAATACTCTTATCTCCTTAAAACCCAATCGGACTCACCTTGGTCGCCCTATGCTGTACATCTACACCAACAAAAACCCCTTGATACAAATGCAAATCGTTTTGATTACAATAATTCGTGCTATATCGTTACCTCGGCCGTGCAATGCCCAAAGACCCAGAGCAAGCCACTTGTCCCTTCATGTTATGCCTTCTTACCCACCTAATCTATCTCTCCCAAATAGCAAAGAGGTAATCATTCCTTGCCTCCCTGCATACCTAATTATGACGACGCAGAGCCGGCAGATGCCGCAGAGGACGGTCCCTCGCGACTGAGCACCCACATGAAAATGAACTGAACCGCGTAGGAGTATATGAACAAGAACTGACCGCGTCGGTTACGCTGAGACCGGGCCACAGCCTGCATCGAACCGGCATGCATGGCGGAGTCGGTCGAATCGGGGAGCAATACATATTTCAGCGAGCGAAGCTAGAGTTTAAATATTAATAAATGCGCAACGCATTCAGAAGTAAGATAGAAGTCGTCACTCACCAGGAAGAACGCATTGGCCAAAAACGTGTACGCAAACACCGTCCACCCCACCCAACCCCTAGTTCCTTGTCCGGGGTTGAAGATCTCAGACACCACCATGGTGATAATGATTCCAACGAACTTGTAGCCTGAGTACGCCACCAGATCCAGCAGTTGCGAGTCATTGTTGATGCTCAGAATGTATGTCGCCAGCTTCAAGCATAGAATCTCGAAGGCGATCACTGCAATGGCGGTGGTGGTGATCGAGCCCAGAAGCTCTGGGTGGAAATCACCCCGGAATCCAGCGAGTAGCACCGACAGAAGAATATATGTGACTAGGGCCATGACGGGAATATACATATCGGGCGAGTTAAGGTCGTCGCGAGGAGGCAGAAACATGGACGAGTATTGTTGCTGCAGGATTTGACCACTTGCTCCGGGGGTTGGAGCCATTCGGGCTTGCTGTCGGGACCAAGGTTTGTGTCGCCAGGGGAAGAGGACAAGGATCAGCTTGTTCAGGACGTAGGAGTTGGAGACGTTAAAGTAGTGCTTGAGAGCCGGTATAGAGACATAGCGATTGAACTGTCAATTATCTCCATGTTAGCTATAAGTGGCAAATAGAGTTCCTTCAATGTTGCATACGTTATTTTCCATGTACTCCTGTCCTGCTGCCATGGCGCTTTTGCCAACCTGGAAACCCATCTGGGCCGTGGGTTCGTTCATGAATCCACCAAATCCAGGAGCACCAGGGGCATAGCTTCCACTGCCACCCTGGGCTGGTGACGGTTGGTATGGGTTACCGCCATATCCAGCACTTGGGGGTTGTTGGGGAGCTGGTGGTGGAGGTGAGCGCATCATAGGGACGGTCGAGACATGTTGTGGGACAGGGTGGTGAAGGGGCGGCGATTGCGCGGGCGGCGGAGCGAAAGAGCCCCGATACATAATGCACCTAAATAGGAAAACGAAGACAGAAGGATAAGGAATGTGGAAATTCAGTGGCGAACGTATCGTCCGGGTCGTGTGACGGGGATTTGGGGAAGAAGTGAGGTTGATAGCGGAGGAAAGTGTTTATACGTGGCTGAAGATCCAATCCGCTTCCGAGCTCCCCCCAACTTCGCCCCGTCCCGCCACCAACAAGTCACACCGGTCTATTTTTCCCTCCCACATTGATTATTTGCTTCTCACATTTGACGATCGATTGCCGGAGATACTCAAAATGTTGGAGGCTTTTGAAATTTTGACGACTTCGGGCGTGGTGCTCTGGTCTAAGGCGTACGCACCAGTGGGCGCACATGTTATCAACAGCCTGATCAACGATGTCTTTATTGAGGAGAAGGTCGTGCCACAGAATGCAGCAGCTGGCGGAGTCTCACCGGCATACAAGAAGGAGAAATACACACTGAAATGGAAGAGAGTCAAGGAATTCGATTTAATCTTCGTGGTACGTCTGGTCGCATGCGCGCATGCACCTCACTGCTTCGACTAACACTGAGTTTATGCAGGCTGTCTACCAATCGCTACTCCACCTTGGCTGGATCGACAAACTTCTTGAGAACATTTCGACAATCTTTATCGATCTCTACAAGGATCAGGTGAAGGGAAACCGCGCGAGAATCCAGACCTATCGCTTCGATCAATACTTTGAACAACAAGTTCGGGAGCTTGAAGACAACACCGGTGGTTTTGTAGAGGAACATGTGTTAGAGACGGGTGAAAAGAAAGACCCGCTTGTTTCGTCGGACAATGGCGGCCCGCCGCCGCCACCAGTGCCTGGCCTGGTGAAAGGTATGGAATGGCAACCCCCGGTTTCAAGCGCATGCTGACCATCCCAAAGCGCAGCCTAGAGCTGCGCTAGCTGGAGCGACCTCTGACGAGGGTACGCCACCAGCTACACCAGAAATTTCTAGATCTTCGACCCCTCAGGGTCATCTTCTTACAGCGAAAGCCGGACCTGGAGGTCGTGGTTCCCGACGCTCCCGCAAAGCTGCCAACTCAAGCGCCAACGCATCGTCTGGTGATGAAGTCCGGAAGGGAAAATCTGCCAAGACCCCTGTGAAGAAGATGCGCAGATGGGATGCCAGTGGGATGGCAGATGAGGATGACGGAGAGATCCTCGATTACTCTGCCCCCGCGGAGGAAGGAGAGGCTGCCGCTCCAGCAGTGGAGGCTGTCTCCGAGGAGGATTGGGGCCGTCGAACTGGCAAGGGCCAATTCGTGCTGAAGGAGTTGGGCGAGGAAGTTCAATCCATCTTGGACCAAGCCGATGCGGAAAAGTCTAAGGCGACTGCTTCGTCGGGTGTCGTTGGCTCCGGGTTCAACGCAATTGGTGGCTTCTTCCGTAACATTGTTGGAGGAAAGGTTCTAACAGAATCTGATCTCGAGAAGCCTCTCAAGGCGATAGAAGAACACCTTTTGAAGAAGAACGTCGCCCGCGAAGCTGCTGTCCGGCTCTGCGAGGGAGTTAAGCATGAGATGATTGGCAAGAAGACTGGCAACTTCCAGAGTATTGATGCTGCATTGCGTGTGGCCATGGAATCCTCGCTGCGGAACATCCTGACGCCGACTTCTTCTTTGGATTTGCTGCGCGAGATTAACGCTGTGGTCGCTCCCACCACCAAGCAGCAGGCACCTCGCCCATACGTCATGTCTATCGTTGGTGTCAACGGCGTTGGAAAATCGACCAACCTGAGCAAGATCTGCTATTTCTTGCTCCAGAACAAGTACCGTGTTCTTATTGCAGCATGCGATACTTTCCGTTCCGGTGCTGTGGAGCAGCTCCGTGTGCACGCTGACCGCTTGAAGGAACTGAGTGTCCGCGAGAACGCAGGCGACGTGGAGATTTACCAGAAGGGCTACGGCAAGGACGCAGCCAACGTTGCCAAGGATGCCGTTGACTACGCTGCGGCCAACAAGTTTGATGTTGTCCTGATCGACACTGCCGGCCGTCGGCATAACGACCAGCGGCTGATGTCCTCGCTTGAGAAGTTCGCCAAGTTTGCTAACCCAGACAAGATCTTCATGGTTGGTGAGGCTCTGGTCGGCACGGACAGTGTCATGCAGGCCCGCAACTTCAACCAGGCATTTGGCACCGGCAGGAACTTGGACGGCTTCATTATCAGTAAATGCGACACTGTCGGTGACATGGTGGGAACATTGGTCAGCATGGTCCATGCCACGGGAATCCCCATTGTGTTCCTGGGCGTTGGCCAACATTATGGAGATCTGCGAGGGCTCAGTGTTCCCTGGGCTGTTAGTCTGTTGATGAAGTAGGGACGACTTGATATCTTAATTTGATACTTTTTTAGCTATGTACATTTCATATGAATCCTTTGCTTACTACTTTGTTCCTTGCAGTCATGTTGCTATAGTCTCTCATAACGGAGTCCCGGTTAAAATACAATACCCCGTTTATCTCCACACATGCCATTCCCAGCTCCAATTCAAACATAACTGAACTTCATACATACTCTGTCGAGGTCGTTCATGGGTAGCAGGTATGTGCTTTAATTGAGATGCAGCCCTGACTAGGGATCTGTTTGGCCTGAAACCTTCACTATCGCCACTGACATAGATAGCTGTCAAAGTCCCAGTCTCTTAGACTTGCATTTATCGATACAGCTGTTCTAGTACTGGCATTTTGGCGATGTCTCCCAGTTCTGCCTACACAATGGCACATACACTCCTCCTATCGATTTGCAGGTCCTCCATGCCAGTCCACCATTATATTGGGCGATATCCTTGATCTTACGCCTGTAATCCAATTTCGGAACATAAATCTCACATCCCATGATTCGAAGTTTGTACTTGTGGTAGGTAACTCGGCAAACCACCCCCAAAACTAAAACCGCCACGCACCAGCCTACTCTACTTCCTACCACCCAACCACCAGTTTGACCTCCGCTCCAACAATAGAACAAAAAGGAAACCAGGAAAGCAAAAAGATTGACCGACGCAGGGATCGAACCTGCAATCTCTTGATTCGTAGTCAAGCGCCTTGCCATTGGGCCAGCCGGCCTGTGAAAGATTCGGTCCATTTTTGATATATGGGGCGGAAGGCTTTTTAGGGCAAGGACCCTAAAATGTTCGCATCGGGATTTTCATGCTATGTTCAGACGCCATTATCTCCACCAATTATGGGTGTATTAGATCGGTTCGAACAGTTTGGGAGAATTTGGAGCTAATTAAAAACGACAAACAAAAAAAAGGCTGAAAAATTATGTACTAACATAGGCCAAAAAGTGCAAAAAGAAATCTCTCCCTCGGGGAATCGAACCCCGGTCTCCCGCGCTTATCGGTATTAATGACAAGCGGAAATCATCACCACTAGACCAAGGAAGATGTGATGGTCGAGTTACTTCTCGGCCACTTGGCTGGTTGATGGAAAATCTGGTAATTTATAGCTTTATAACTGAGAATAAAATTGACTTGCATCGTTTTTATTCCGATACTTCATTCTCAGATCTAGATGATCCAGTGTTTTGAAGATCCAAATAATGTCAGAAGGCTGATGGAAGCCGCTTAGAAATAGGTGATATTCGAACCATGTTGATGAATGGCATTATTTGGATATCTCACTAGAGTCGTCGATGTCATGGTCTGAAGAAGAGGTGATACTCTTCTGGTACGCTCCGTCTCGCCAAAATCTAGGTTGATCTTTTGAGGAGTCTCGGTGACGAGCATAACATTTTTAACGGGAGCACGGTTCGTCGAGAATGGTAGATAAGTGTCATGACGAATGAGATGGTGCCAAGTTACAACAATCAATCAAGGTATGCGAAGTAAGTGCGCTGTTTATCGATAATTTTATTGGTGGGGAAAGAAGGATAGGTCTAGTAAACTAGCTGTTCATATACCTGCATATGTACCTATGTATGGGTCTTCCTGCATTAAACGAGCCCAATTCGGTGGTTACTAGATTCGCCCATTTGCTGTACGTTCTTGGATTTCGTCTAGTCGTCTGCGTTGTGACGGACGCCCACCCAGACAATATCTTCCCATAAGCAACTATCCTTAGTGACTCCTTAACTGGCCCCGGACCTTTCTCCACAATTATTCGTTAATAATGTTTCGGATACGGGCGAGAGGGCCACCCTCGTGATTTGTAGCATGTGCCTACTTTTGACGCCATCTCAAGCGTCCTATGTAGTAGCCGTTTTGACGCCCGGTCTACCATCGTTAGTATTGTGGTGTAGTCTACTCCGTTCAGGGTCATTATATATGATGATGTAAGGGGCGCCATATTTCGAGTTGTAATGGGTTGTATTATCGGTAGATGTTGGTGATATATATACATGGACTTCAGTTCCAACTGTATAGACATACATCCCTTGGGTGGGTATAAGGCCAATGATCACCAGATAAACGCCATCTAGGCTATGCACTCAAGCGGTACACTCCATTGGGTATATATTTTGGTGATTTACATACCAAGCACATCAGCATGATGCCTGCATAGTCCCGGCCCACCTAAGCTGCGAATAGATGAATAAGTGGTTTGCTATAGTATCTCAACTTATAGCGCGGTTCTTTTAATTTTATCCACAAATACCATATGATATTAGTGGTTTAGCCTGGGATAGTCATAGAAGGAAATTAAGTTACCCAGCTACTACCTAGCTTGGAATAATTTGTTGAGCCTCGGCACCCACTACCAACAAGAGCACAAGATCGACACATGCAAGGGCCATGAGTCTTGAACCCAATAAGGAATAAGCAAAACAAGCGCCATGCAGATAAATCCGAGAATAATTTGTACTACTGCGGTGCTTCAGGGCTAGAACAACTAACACAGCATAGATCTGCAGCATCGCTTACATCATCATAGTGTTCCTTGATCCGGCTTGCGGTTTATTGCAATCAACTTCAACCATCCTAAGCTTCCCCACACATTTCGTTTCTCGAACATCTACTTATACCTGAATCCACCCCTCTATTTTATTGGTCGGGGAAACATTCAAATAGCGCGGGTTGCAACTGTACCATCAAGCTCTCACGACAGAATTGCGTTTACAATCAGGCTTTCGGCACGACCCCCAATCGCATGGGTGGCTGGGAAAAGACGCCAATCAGTCTTGATTTTGCTAGTGTGTCGCCAGAATGACGGGTCCAGACCGGGCTTCGCTCAACCGCCGCTCCTCCACGCAGCATTACCAGACCTTCGATACTCCACCGCCCAAGTCGCGTGGGCGACCTAACTCGGGCCAGTCCGAATCCTCTGCGGACGGCTCGCACGATCCCCACCATGACACCGCTGATCTCCCCGGAACGTCATCGCCGCTGCCGAAGAGGCAAATGGCAGTGTTAGCGATAATTGCACTGGCGGAGCAAACAGCGTTGAACTCGATCAGTCCATACCTCCCGGACATGGCATCGAAATTCCCTGAAGTGGAACCGACCCAGGTGGGCGTATACGTGGGCAGCATTGCATCGGCTTTTGCACTGGCTCAATTCAGCACAAACTATTTCTGGGGCTGGCTATCGGATCGTGTTGGTCGCAAGCCGGTGATCCTGCTTGGCACATTTCTGACTGCGCTGTGTTTTGTTGCATTCGGATTCTGCAAGACTCTTGTACAAGCTATAGTTGTGCAGGCATTGATGGGTGTGGTAAATGGCAACCAGGGGTTGGTATCCACCTGTCTCGGAGAAATCACCGATCGAAGCAATCAGTCTCAGGCTTTTACCTACCTCCCGGTATTATACGGAATTGGAGGTATAACGGGACCACTCGTAGGAGGACTCCTCATTTTTGAGACGAACCCTTTTACTGGTAACAAAAACCCGTATCCTTATCTTGCACCAAACATACTGTCCGCTGTTGTCCTTATGGTGGATTTCGTTTTCACAGCTATCTTCCTGGAAGAGAGCCTCGAAGACGCAGACAGTCTTCCAAAGATCGGCAAAAAAGTGCGCAGCCTGTTCACATGGCTGTGGCAGTTTACCGGCAATGCTCGCCATCCGACCTACGTGGAGGTTCCGCAAGCAGTGCCATATCCCCACAGCCGCCGCGATCTAGAGACCGAGGATCACGACAGTGACCTAGACTCTGCGTCCGAGGTGTCAAGCATTCCTGGCCCCCACGAGGAACTCTCTTGGGATGAGATATTCACGCGAGATACGCTCTTACTTCTTTTGACATACCTGATCTTTGCTTTCTGCAATGTTTCTTTCAACTCACTCTTTCCAATTTTCGCGCAAGCTAAGCCCCCGGCCGGACGGTCACTCACCCCATCCGAGATCGGCCTCGCCCAAGGGTTTGCTGGAATCGTGACGATCATTTTCCAAATCTGTATCTTCAACCGCCTGCGAGACAAAATGGGCAATCGATGGTCTTACCGCGCGGGCCTATTTGGATTTGTCGTCTCGTTTATCTTACTACCCTTCATTGGGTACAAGAGCAGGACCAGCAAGAATCTGACTGGCAAGTCCGCCATCATGGCCACTGAACTCTGCGTTGTGTTGCTGATCAAGACCATCGCCTCCGTGGGTGGTTTGACCAGCGCTCTGCTTCTGGTAAGAAATTCCAACATTCTCTTTTTGTGAACACCGAAACTAATCATCTCTCTTAGGTCACAAACTCGGCACCTAATCATGCCGTTCTCGGGGCTTTGAATGGTCTTGCACAGACTCTCTCTGCCGCTGGACGTGCAGTGGGCCCATTCCTCTCCGGAGGACTGTTCTCCCTTACAGCCAAGATCCAGCCTAAAGGAGAAGCCTTGGCATTCGGAGTCTTTGGTGCAGTCTCCTTTATTGGCTTCATCATGAGCTTCGGCATCCGCGGTCGTTCGCTTGAAGCAGAGGGATGGGGTGAGGACAGTGATGATGGAGATAAGTCGGATGACGACGAGCCGAGTGGTGCTTGATTAAAATACACGGATTTATAGAATGTGCCGACATGACGACGTGATGAATTTATGCTTTCGTTCCAGCCTTTTTTTTTTTTTTTTTTTTTCGCATTTGTATATATACATTAGCCCCGTTGCTTTAAGATATTTTATTGCTGTTGCATTCTTTGCTAAGACAAAACCGGGTGTTCGATCCAGCCTTGAGCCCGATAGATCTTTTTGTGGAGATGTTGCCATGGACCTGAAAAAGAATAGAGTCAAACCCCATGTCCAATCCTCATTTCCCATTCACCTTCAAATGCACTCCCCACCTCTACTATTATAGTACTAAGCCTAGACCGAGTTGGATTTGGAACAGATATTTTTCTTTGGATATAAAAGATTTCAATTTTATTTAGTTAATGTGCTCTTATACATATTAACAAGATAATATCAGTATTAAATCAGACAACAAGAAGCACAATTTGAGACTGGATACGGAGACATAAAGCAGAACAACCCAGAGCGTGGAGTGTTGAAGCGAAAAGCGATTTAGGAGAATGATTTAAAATCCAGAGAAAATTCAATTCAAAGATAAATAGCAAGGGTATATAGCACATAGTGATCGTAGCAGTAAATCATGTATGAATCGCGTGATGGAAATGGAATGCGGGCCAAAAATAATAAAAAGACAAAGTAATAAAATCACTATCAAGCCCAGTGCCAGCCCAATTCCTGTGACTTTTGACGCTTAATAACATCCGACAGTAGGGTATCACCTTGACCAAAGGGATTGCGCTCATTCTTCTTCCGCTGACGCTGAAGCAACTGCACAGCAGCGGTAGCATCAATCCCTTCACCAGTATCTGTAATCTTAAGAGCCCACTTAGCATCTTGCGTACTAAAGCCAAGCTCATTAACCATCATATCAATGGCGCGGTCAACAGGATCCAGAACCTGCGGCCTCAGAGGCAGTGACACCATAGCTGTCGGTGGAGTATGCGACGATGCAAAGACACTGGCAGGGTCGAACGGATGAGTTGGGGTCTGTGGAGCCGTCCCAGCAGTCGAAGTCGAGGACCTGTCAAGAACGAGCGCAGGCACAGATGGAATGGGCCGGTGATCCTGAAGCGAAGCGTTGAGATTATGAACAATAGTGCTGAACTCCGACATAGGCCGTTCGGCAGAGAAGGAAAACCGGCCTTCGGGATCTGGATCGAGACCGCGCTCACGGCGATGACGAAGCTCGTAGGCGAATCCAGCTTGGCGCTCACGGATCTCGCGATCACTTTCGGCAGGGTTTGTTTTTTGCGGGCTGATTTCGGTTGGGCTGTCAAGGGCCCGTTCTTGGAGATCATAGGCGCGCGAGACTGCTTCTTTTAGGAATGATGATCGACTTGCTTCGGTTTCGGCTGCTTCCCATTTGGTGAGACCGATTGACTTGGCCTTAGTGAATGTGGCGGCGGTGGTATCGGCTGGGCAGATTGAGCTGAGTGTTAGGACTGCGCCTAGACCGAGCGTGAGAATGTATGAAGTCCATTCCTCTGTATTTCTGAGTTAGCCGTGATCAAATAGACCAGATTGTTTGTTTCACTTACCGAGAACAGTCTCTTCGCGAGCCAGATCACCATCTGGGACGTTCATGTTATCGAAAACGCCGACCTTGCGAGCTTCAATGCGCTTTCCATGCAACGGCTGTAATAGAACACCCATGCACGTCCAGATCTCCGTTAGGTCGTACATTTGCTTCTGCGATAAGCCGGAAAGATTCCCACGACCGAATCCATCGGGGGGCTCAAATAGAACGTTATTCATACCGAAAGGCTGTGTTATCATCGAAGCCGAGGTGAAATGATTCTTCGCCTGAACACCACCCTTTAACCAGTCCATTTGGCCAGCGATATCATTCTCCCGTCCCTTACCACTGCCAAAAATCCGGCAGAAGGTCCAGAGCCGCCAGAACGCATCGTCGACTTCCTCAGCGCGGGTGATGTCCACGCCCGCCAGACCGCGAATAGTATCACGACGGAGGAACGGAGCGCACCTCGCAAGAACCAATGCCTTCAGCTTGGCAAGGGTGTATATATCCTGCGCGTACCTTTGTAGATACAGCGTGGGCGTGTATTCTGGAACCTGGGAGTCAGGATCTACAAGTAGCTGCCACTCCATTTCCCATGGCGGACTCATCTCGCGCATTTCCCATGCGGGCGGGGACATTTTGAACAGGGCATTTTTCAGCATGGACAACTCGCGACCTTTGAACGCAATGTATATCTTTTTGTTGACGAGGGCGAAGTTGAAAAGGTCATCTAGAGAGTCGATGTTCTGCATGATTGATAAAATCAAATCAACTGGCATATCTTCGGGGAGAGGGATATTGACTGGGACATTGCGCTCAGCCTCAGAATGGAATGCAGATAAAGGTGACGGGGGAGTAGCGGGAAGTTCATAGATGTGTTCGGTGAGTTGGACGCTGCTCGCCTGGGCAGTCGAGACCAGAGCCCAGCTCTGACGGATTTTGGAGGCTATGGGCTTCTCCTCTAGTTTCACGCCCTCCATGGCGACCGGGCCAGGGCTACCCGGTAACAATGCTTGTTCCGCAACGTGATTGAAGGGATTCCGGAGACCATTAGTTTGTAGACGAGGTAATTGAAGCAACAGGCTGTTGTGCGTGGGGGCCAGATCGAGGGGATCGGAAGAATGCCCTTCTAATGTCATGTGAAGGGGATCTTCCGACCGGGAGCTGACGCTAACTGCATCGCGTGGCGCTGGGCTTTGCTTGCGAAAGGCCAGGAATGATTTCTTGGATTTTGCCTTTTTGATGGTCTCTTTGGAAGTTGGAGTGGTTTTGGCGTCGGCCTTTTCATCCATCTCCTTCTCCCTATCCCTGCCCGATCGCTTGTCTTTCGCTTCTCTCTTACTGAGTTTTTGACTTTTTTCTTTGGTTGGACTTGACCCTATTGATTTAATTGTGTTGACCCCACTGTTCTTCAGTGTGAACTTCCCTTGCGGGGTTTGTGAGTGAGGCTTGGTGGAAGGGGGGAGGGGCGCGGGCCGGGTAGCAATCAAGTCCCCATTATGGCGGCTGATCTGCAACGGCCCATCAAGGATCAATGGCGTTTTGTGAGACAAATTTTGATGACCCAGGCCCGCCAGGGCATCCTCAAGTTCCTCGGTGGCCTGCGACAATGTTGGGACATGGCGAGCTCGATGACCAGCGACTACCAGATCTGACCCTTGTCGACCCTGACGCTGCGGCTGATGCTGACTGTGTCCGCATGTATGGAACGGATCTTTGGAATCTCGGTGGGTATTCAACTGGTGTAACATGGAATGCTTCCAGTCGTCGTGGCTCATTGTGGCGGGATGTTGCAACGAGATCAGTGAGTCTCTCTTTGAGAAATGCGTTGACCACTTGGATCTGAGGTGTGGTGAAACTGCCGAAAGGGGGGAGTCGTCGTGGTGACTCGGTGCTGAACTGGGACCGTAGAATGGCTCTAGTGGCAAGGGCTTGTTCTTGAGATCGTTCATCGATGCCTTTTTGGCGATGGGCATTGGGCGGGCGAGTTTTGACACGTGTGGGTGGCAGGGCGCAACTATTGACGAAGGCCGCGAGGAACAGATGGAATCGGCATCGTCGAAGACACCGGCGGCGACGGGAGAATAGATTGAGTATGCATCTGCCGTTTTGTAGGGGTGTCGTCCATCATCTCCCCAGAACGTGCTGCCGACGCTGGTCACCGAAGTGCGATGACTGTAGCATGATGAAGCACAATCCAAAGTCCCATCAGACCCAGAAGACGAGAAGGTGATCTGCGGTTTATCGACAGCCCCATGTGCATCGGTTGCGACATCTGAAGAGCTTCGATATAAAGACTGCACGCGTTCTTCTAGTTCTCGTTCGAAAAAAGAGGGCCCCGTCGAGCGGTCCATTTTGGAATCAGCACTGACCGGGGAGACAACGGCGAAGTGCGAGGATAGCTCTGGGAAGAAGCGGGCCAAGCGGGAAGCTGAACGCAATGGATGGGGATAGTCCGACAATGGAGAAATTTCAGAATCAGCTTCAGAATCCTGGGGTGATTCCAAGTCAATCATAGTGTCTAAAGATTTCCGCGGGGAGGCAGACCGAGTGTCCCCGGCGTTCCCGCTAGCGATGTCTTCTTCTTTGAGACCCAGATGGTGTGGTTGACCTTGAGTCTTTTTAGTGTCGGCTGCCATGTGTTTAGCAGGGGCCCCTGGGGCCGATCCAGACGGGCCATGGGTGGTGTCTGCAACCTGTGCTGGCATTGTCTGCACTTCTTTATTGACTATGGGACTCGATTGACCTGAAACAGTGCCTCGGAGAGCTGCGACTTTGGTTTCCAGACTGAAGTGTTTCCTTCGAAGCTTCAGCGAGGGAGGTCGAAAAACTAGTTTCTTTTGTTTCAAAGCTTTGGTCTTCTGGTTTGAAGGATCACAAGGCCCGGAAGGCGATGATGATAGCCAGTAACTCATATTTTAACTCTTGTTCCAAATTTCTATTCGTGGGGCATTGTTGACCGGTTTAGGCTGTCCTTGCTCTTTGTTAACAGGTCAGGATGTTGCTCAAAGCCCCCCAATCGTATGTTGGTTGCGCTAGAACATACTGCAAATTGCAATCTCGTGAAAGCAGACTCGTGGAGGCGAAGTATATGGGTTTCTTTGTTGAAAATAGTTCGTACCGGCTGTGGCTGTATAGGACAAAGACCAACGAACCCACCAACTGTTTCTTTTGTCTTCTCTTGCAAGCATAGGAGTCCGAAAAAATGAAGCAGAAGAGAAGCTCGGAATGAGAACTATTGTAGGTAGATCTAATACCGCACAACATAGGCACAGACCTGTTGATATCGCCCTTTTAGGCCCCCAAAAACCAGCAGGTGGTCCTCCAAGGTTTTGTACGCAGTATGGCGTTTCTCAAAATGGTCTAGACAAATGATTCGACCATAATTGATTATTTTGTCGATTACTGGTTTAGTGTGCTGCAGCTAAACGGCGATCATCTGGGGCCAAAGGATCACCCCCAAATTGCCGATTGAGTAAGTTGTTAGATACGGAGTAAAGTACGGAGTAAATGTGTTCATGTTCAACGAAGATTCTCTAATCCTTAAATGGCTGGTTTTATAGTTATAGTTGCTTCAAACTTCGTGTTCTTTCGTACTCGGAAAGGCGCAGTGAATGTTATTCTTATACGAATAGCCCAATTTGGCCAATGATCTGCGATAATAATCCCACATAAAAATATATGCAAGGCGATCACTACATTTTCCGCCCCATTGCCTGGTGCATTCCAGCCCCCAACTATGACTGTGCCTAGGTGAATAAGACAGACTTGTACTGGTACATTTGTATACTTTCCAAGGCTCGACCTGTTGATAGTCTTAGTAAGTCCGTAGAAAACCTGCTGATAGTCGTAGTATTTCGTATTGCTTTTTACAGATGATTTCATCAGCTAGTATTATTTGCCAACATAATCAGAAGGGGAGTCTCATCTAGTGCGTGCCTCTCTTGCCTGGCTAAAAAGCTTTCGTGTATACTGCATACCTAGTATATCTTTTTTGAAGTTTTCTGTGGCATTATGTGGATACATCCCGTATTTTAATACCTGAATAACTGTGGGAACCAAATTGCTATGAGTGAGCTTGGCTAGAGTCCACTGTGGGTATCTGCTTGACTCTGCACCCTGCAACTCGACCATTGGCCCAATCTGGAAGGAGGATATACATACATCAAAAGAGCAACTACTCGACTAGTCGGTTCAGGTGAAATCCACGTGCTACTCCTATCATATTTCTTCCCACCGTCTATGGTATCACGGCTAATATTGCAAAGGAAACGGCAAAGGCTGGGGCGCAAATGTCCGGCGCTGTCGGGTTCTCGTGGATTTTCCTTCGCCATGGTAGCCATGTGTGGATTGGACTGGACTTAATGCTCGATTCGATAACGATTTGACTCTATGTCTGACTTTCATTGGAAAGGTCTATATCTTTTGGTGACTGAAAAACTCGTTGATCACAAAAGCTGTCAGAGAAGACACGGAAGGTAAGCGTAAGTAAATTGTTGATAGGAACAATAAACAAAACAAAGGAAACGAAGAAAGAGGGAAAGTATGATATTGAGGCATATAGCAGATTGTGAGTAAGTGAAAAGAGCAGCCTTGGAGAGAAAAGGAGAAGAAGACTTTCTGCCTGAAGATTATGGCTGCCTCAGTCCCCGAGATCATTTACTAACCTCTATTCATCTTATATTGCTTCATCTTGGTTTACTCGATCTGGAATTACATATCCTTATACCATTTGCTTATAACAGTAAGATTGGTGGTTATCAAATCTCGCGCAGGGGAATTTGAGCACTATGTAACGTTGTGCAGGGTTACGGAGTACCTTTCGACCAACGGGTGGCGAGAGCTAGATGATCCACAAGCAAGGGTTATATATTAAATCATGTAAATTGCATATAATTCACAGCTATTGACCCAATGATACTCACCATATTATCCGCAGTGGATTATCAGGAGTATTGTTGCAGACGAAACCGGCCTTGATCGATCGTTTTAGATGTCTTGGCTGACTTCTCTTTTGAGTAAATCCCCTAGGTTCTTGAGGACTCAATGATAGAACATTAATCAAACTAATGGGAAACTCGGCACTGTTTAACTTCCCCTGAGGGAAGCTCGGCTTTGTATCGTATAAAACCGCGAAACCCACGAGAATGTAACTAGTTGAAAGATACAACTGCCAACCCTACTCCATATCAATTATCTCTACCTGCCCCTATCATGCTTGGCAAACTCCCCTCAGTCGCAGCATTGCTGGCGCTTAGCCTGACTGCTCAGGCGAGCCTAATCTTCAAAAACTCCGGCACAACCTCAGGCTGGAACAAAATAAATCAAGAACACAAGGGCACTGTGAAGCAAGTGACAGATGAGGTGTACGAGGGCAAAACAGCGCTCAAAATGACTCAAATCTACGACAAAAGCTACTCCGGCCGGTACCACTCGGAAGTGGTGAAGAACGATATTTACAAGCGCGGCGACACGGGCGCATACGGGTTCTCCTTCCGACTGCAAGACGACTGGCAATTCTCCCCCGTGCAATCCTACAGCATCGCGCAATTCATCGGTGATTTCACAGACAGCGGCTGCGACGACTGGATGCCGACGACCATGGTCGCGCTCAAGGGCAACAAACTCTACACGCGTGTCAAGCAGGGTTCAGTCTGCAAGCAGAATGTTAAGGGTTTCAATAACCTAGCCACTGTCACTGCGGGTGAATGGCACAGAGTTGAGATTGAGGCGAAGTGGGAGTCGGATGAGACGGGGTATTTCAGAGTTTGGTATGATGGGGAGAAGGTTTTGGATGAGAAGGATCTCATTACTACCATTGACGGTGATGCGGCTTTCCAGTTCCGGGCTGGTCTTTATGCGAATGGTTGGCATGATGATAAGGAGATGAAAGGAACTCAGGGAACTAGGAGTGTTTGGTATGATGAGATTGCTGCTGGGACTAAACTTGCTGATATTGAGGCTGAGGCCAAGATTGATGCCGGAGACTGTTGATTTGGGTTTGGAATATTCTGTATTTAGCCAGGGGTAATATTGACGGACCAATGGATATGTTTAGCTTGGGTTGAAGTAGACTTATAGTTTAATTCTCCCGAATATGAATGTGCCTGTCTTTGATCTATACTAGAGTTGCGCTTCGGTTTAGAGTCTATGGCGCAGAAAAAGTGCGCAAGGCAAATTGTCACTATTCAAGTCCCTAAACTGTCTAGGGTCAGACGGACTTACTCGGACTTTTAACTGAAACAATCGGGCTACTTATATTGTGCTAGTGGGCGTTCATCAGTGGGCATTGGCCTGAAGCTAAGCATCACTACAATCAACCACAGCTTGAGGCCAGTAATGGACCAAAAGCTTTGCCAATGACAACAAATCTACCAGCATATCTCAGAGCAGTTTTGATCTGCAACAACAAGTCCGTTGTAAATGTACAAATACATCGTATTATAATGTTGAAGACCCGTGGCGCGTGGGATCCAAACTAGCTGACATCACCCTGCATGAGTATCGTCCTCTGTTCGATAGTTTATGTGTGTGTGTGCTACTCGCGGTTACAGTACATCGTATTATGTTATAATATTATATGGCTTTTTGAGATGTTTTCTGTGAGTTTCTACTTTTAGATATTTGACTCTCACTATCGAAGGATCGGCGGTCTTGCCGAATGTGTTAGCGCCGAAAGAAGCTCCTCTGCATGATTTATTGGATCCCAGTAACGAGCCCATATTTTCTCTTTCGTACGTGATATTCCCTCAGAGTTGGGGAAACTAATCCAAAAATGTTAATGTTTTGCGAGTGGAGTGTTGCTAAATATATCCGAAGCCAAGTATTTCAGGAACAAGCAGAAAGAAAGTCTAAATCAAAGTGGAAGCAAAATACGAGAACATCTAATCTTGGCACAGCCAATAATAAAAATTTACCCCAGGACCCGGGGGCTGCTTTTAGTGCTGACTTGAATATTGATGTCTTGCAGAAATCTTATTTGACTGTTTAGGCTTTTCAAGAGCTTCCACCTACCCTATACAGCTTAATACTATTAATAGATAATTTGGAGTAATTCTTGTGCCATGTCCTCAAGACGTGCTAAATGATGGGCATAAAGCTTCTTACGCCGCGTGAGGCTGTCAAAGAGTCCTTAAATCACAAGCTTGTGTGTGGGTGCGCGTTGTACGGACTGGCTTGAAATAGCCTTTTTTTTTTTCTTTTTTTCAATAGGCGATGGCGTTCGGTTTGATTTGTTCACAAGAAAGGTAGAATGATTGGAACAGCACAAATGCCTTTTCACCTTGTGTATATAATACAAAGTGAGGTCAAGTCCAACAAAGTAAGGGCACAAGACCTTCTTCACCTACAACTATAGTAGTTAGGTCGTATAAGTGGTTTCGAATAGTTCGGCAAGTAGATTCTCATCGATCCTCCTATTAAGGCAATAAGTTCAAAATGGGGGTATAATCAAGTTAAAGTATGAACATGTCAGTTTCATAGTATTAGTAACTTAGCTTTTTCAACCACTCAATCCAATTCGCACGTTGCATTATAGCGCTGACTCTAATTGTCTTGACCCATAGGAGTAGTCAGAGGAAAAGCTCCGGGGATACTTTTAGTGGTGACTTAAATTTGGATGTCTTGCCGAAGGGGGACCTTTCTAGTTGAGGTACCTGTTGATAATATTTTTTGTACCTTCTGAAATGACTTCTTACTCCGTCTTACACAATCCTTTTTTCTTTGTCAAAATTAAAGTCGGGTAAATTGCTTTCGATTTCGATACTGATCTTCATCTTCCTTTATACAATTGAATATCTAGATCTCTCTGCTATGATTATTTACACATTGTAGTGCTCGAGGAGGTAATACTAAACCTTGCGACTGGGGCTTATCTAGAATATTAGGTGCACTTTCCCCTTTCGTTTCAATTTGTATGTAGAAATTACGAAATATTTGAACGTCGCTTCTGGGTTGTGAAAGAAGCTCTTTGTTCTTAAGATGAACCCGATTAAAGCCACGTTTCCCACGTTTCTTCGAGTCCTCGACTATCTTTGATGACCATGAGTAACATGTGATAGCGCTTGCATTACTTTTTAATTGTGCGGTTAAATGGTAAAAATTTTCACTTGTCAATGTTGACTTGATGTCACGGAAATGAAGGTTAGTGAGCATCATTCTCCGTTCGGCATTTGGAATTAATGCACAGGGCTCACCGTAGACTCGACCTTCGTAGCTGGGCTCAGTATTCCATTTCAAATATATAAATATGGGCTTAATATGCTCCATCCCCCAGGAAAAAAAAGGAGTTTGGTTCTTCAACTCTTTGTTCATTTGTCCTCTTAGAACCGTCCTCGTCTACCCTTCTAGGAGTAAATCATGTTGCTTCTTGTCCAATAACTGCAAAAGAATCTATATTTGTCTTCTTTGGTTCCTTCGATCAAAGGAAGTGCAGAGAACTGTCACATATCGACGTTTCTGGGGGTTGGAGAGGGTGAAGATATAAACTAGGTGTATGTCAACTGCTTGACAGATTTTCTGACGAACCTCAAATAGTCTCACAACAAGCCTTCCCAAATTACTTCATCATGGTCGGCTTCAACGAAGAAATGCTGGAATCCTGGGGTCCAGCAGTTTGGGGAGTCATCTTCGACCGATTGCAAAGTGGAAACGTCAAAGGTGGTGTGCTTCAGGTTGCCTGGCCAAGCAAAGTCGACAAGAAAACAGCAGCCCAGCAAATCCAATGGGCTACCAAGTTGCCTCTTGCCCAGCTTCCTCAGAAAGCACTCGAGATCATATTCGACAGGATGGTTGGTTTCTCAGTCGGAGTTCGATATATGGAGGAAAAGAAGATCCACGCTATGCATGGGCTCGTAAGACACAATGGACCTCTCAAAATGAGCGTGGAAAAATGGTTTAAACGCGCTGGTACCGTGGAAAGATGGAAGGAATTGATCCGGTCCTACACAAATTATGAAGATGCAATGGGCCATTTGTCGGATTGCACTACATTCCCAAGAGAAACGGACCACCACCCATTCAAGACCCATCCTGCATACAATGCCGCGATGCAATGTTCTTCCTGCTTAGAGTTTCTGGTTCAATTCGGTATTGTCACGCCGAATGGGTATGATCTGTCGGGAAGAAGCTGGCTTGAGGCAGGACTGAATGGGCCCAATATGGATTTGCTCACCTACATTGTCAGCAATGTGGATCCTCAACATCTGACCAAACCCAGGGATATCAGAGAAACCCGCGAAAACCACATTCTTCTTTCACTCGTCGGTGTCGGTGCATTTTCCCAGTTCGTGATTACCCTGAACAGGCTACGTCAGGCACGATTTGTGCCGATCGAGGAACTTCGCACAATCTTCCACGAAGCAGCGATGCACGAGTTCTGTGCTGTCGCACCTGTTTCCGTAGCGGAAGCACTATACCAACACGGAATCAACATCGGCAACGTAGAGCATCAGTTCCACGAGCTCGGCGGACAGCTAGAGTCATCCTGGCACATCGCAGCATCCTTCAACCCCGCCGGAGCCGACTTTATGGAGTGGCTCGATAAGTTCTCCATGCTCACCGCAGAGGTCCGAAACTCAGAAAACATGAACCCGCTGATGTACGCCGCATGCTTCGATGAGCCAGCCGCAATCGACTGGCTGTGTCAGAAATCGGATCCAATGCAGTCAAGATTAGACGGAGGCCCGCAAGGGTACGCCCTGATCTGCGCGGCTAGAAGCTCGTACCTTCACAGCGGGGAGATATTCTCCATCATCGTCTCACATCTCCCAGACTCACTATTCGATAATGAATATGGCAAGATCTTCGGCACCGAGATCGCCGAAGGACTAGCATCGCACAAGCGCAAGCTCGCCGACGGCCGAATCACAGAACCCACGCAGAATGTGATGGAGCTCCTAGCGGTGCGCAAGATGCAAGCGCTCGTCCGCCGTCTGTCCAATTTCTGGCCGGGCAGCGAATGGCATCTAGCGCTGAAGGCGTTCATAAACGATAACGATATGTTTGTCCTCATGCACAGTATCGGAACCGGGACGCGGCTGCTTCGAAGCAGCTCGCGGGAGGGCTCGCCCACTCGAGATAGCGCAACCTACCCCAGAAGCCCTCAGACACGCAAGCTTTCTCGGCATGAAATACCGCTGATGTATGATGATGGCATTATGTCGGATGCTGTTCGTGCGGAGGCTATTAGGAGGAATAGGCCCAGTCATGTTACTGCTCGCAGTAGGGGGAGACAGACTCTTGGTCCTATCAGAGATCCTAGCAATATGGTCACTAAGACTGTGCGCAGGGGGGGATCAAATCGCCGAAGCTGAGAGGTTGTGTTTCGGCCTGGTACTGGTAGAGGGGATCGGCGTTGCTTCTGGTATGAAGTATGTGGGTACGCTTTATGCATATTATTTCTTTATTTTATTTATGTCTGATGGCTTTGCGTTGGTTTAGTTTAGATCCTATGTTTGTTTTTGATTTTCCGATTCGATTCGTGCCGACCTTTTGCTGGTTTTGTATGTTTATACTATTTAGAAATTTACGACCAGTTTATTTACAGATTATTCTATACTGCATATCATCTCTTATATCAGCTAATCAGTCTTAAATTGCCAAACCAAGTGCTAAATAAACAGGCTGACCAAAAGCAAAGTTGAGATTTGGACAAGTCTACCAGTCAAGTACACCTGGTGAAGTACCGTTCTGCGATCCACCGTTGACACAGTCTAGCTCTCTGCATACTACTGTGAATTAGTAGGACAGTAAAGCCAAGCTAGAAATTAAAGCACCTACATTGGTCTGCTTTTTGGAATAGAGTGCTTCCTTCTGGCTTGTGCATGGCTGGGAGGATTTGCCCCCCTTTGATCCGTTCGAGCTTTGTGTGCTCCTGGAGTCGACTCAAAAGTTGAAAAGTGTCTGTTTAATTAAATTAGGTAATAGAAAAAGCAATAGAAAAGAGGCCCTGATGTTTGATGGCCATACCTGTGCAATTTAGCTCGCTAGATCTAGTCAAAGGATCATCGGTCAGGTCTTCTCGGATATAACATAAGTATAACAGTACTCACCTTTGTTTGGTCGAGATAGATTGATACTCAAGTTCAATCTCCGCAATCAAGTTTTTCGTTGCACTCTGTAATACTTCTGACATTTTCTGAATGTCTGGTTCATTGACAGCGGAGTGGGCGAAGAGGTCGTAGCGAATATGTGTCTTTGACTCCGAGGCGGGAAAGAAAGAAAGGGCGAGACATAAATCCGTTTGTTGAAACGAATAAATAACTGTAATAGGAAATAAGGAACACTCTCCCAGGGCACTCCTCCGCGTAATAGACCTGATAACTTTCATGGCGGGAGAGGGCATCGATACTTCAGATATTCTGCAATGTAGCTCGCTGGTATAGACATCGAGGTGACGAGTCCATGCTATTGAAGTGTCAGCCATTGTCCCCAACTATCCTTGACATTAGTTACTCACCACCAACCTTCCAGTTGAAGTCCCCCGACAAAGTCTGACCAGCAACCCAAGCGGATTTCGCTTTCAGACTAGCTATGCGCGAAACTCCACTCAAACTTGAAGCCACCTCACTGTCAAATGCAGTGGACTCACTAGACTTTAGATTCACGAAAACCATCCCTTGGTCGGTGGTTCGTGTATGAACCTCAAACAGACTATTCTTCGACTTATCAAACCCGGGAACGTCATCAAACTGAGGAGCCTTCACAAGTCGCCCAGTGGTATCATAGCTCCAGCCATGATACCGACAACCAAGAACAGTCGAGGCACCAGTTTCCTTTCTGGTAATAGTGTAGGCGCGATGGCGACAGACATTATGAAATGCGCGGATCCTGTCGTCTTTACCGCGAATGAGAAAGACGGGGAACCCGGCAATGTCGAAAGATTGATACGCGCCGGGCTTTTTAAACTGCGAGCTATGGGCAAGATAGAGCCATGTCTAGAGCTATATGTTAGCAATTCCCGCCAAGCCATATCATACTGGCATTTCTATTACTTGGCTGAAGAGCGCGCGCCGTTCGAGCTCGAAGACTTCCCGACCGCTCCACCATCCTTCTGGGATTTCGGGTTCTTTGGACACCGTCAAGTCTGAGTTATTCAGAGAGGCGATTACATTAGAAGCTGTGATTTTATCGGTTTTGGTTTGAGATAAATGAGGCCATGCTCGGTGGAGTAGAAATATGATTGTCACTAAGGCCAAGAGGATAGAGGCTGGAGAGGGCAAATAATCTGCATCGGTAGACTCCATGAGAAATAAAGTGTTACTTTTTCGATAATAGATGGTTGGCATCTGTTACTGATATAGTTGTCACTGAGAAGCCTAGATGTCATCCCTCCACATTATACTCTCCACATTTAGCGCAGATGTCTCCCTACATTACCCGATTGGGTTGGAATTTCCTGGTATCGATCCGATGACTTGTCACTTCTAATTTTTGACCCTGTATGGTTAGAGTTACCTTTATCATACAGCGAGTACTGTGCAGGGTGTTAAGATTATAATCGTATTAACATTCATATCTCATATCAAAAAACCGATCACTATCTTCTCATGAATAAATACTACGCTGCCATTTGAACCACGGAGGGCGCAACATGCTCCTCCAGTCCAGACTCTTTCGCTGTCTTGGCGGTCATGTCAGACTCATGCTGCTCGCAGACCAGATCAAATACTCGTCTCTGGTAGTCTGGAAGAGACATGTGTATTAGCATGATTGCATAAACAAACTTTAAAAGCTACAACTCACAAGACACGCCATTCTCCTTGTTTGGGTTCAGAATTCCCTCATGATAAACTCCCTTGGCGAGATTGCTCTGGGCTTTTTCGCAGAGCTCGAAATCTTCCATAGCGACTTGACGCACAAATTTAAAGTATTCTTCGAACTTGTCTCCAGATTCAAGATGGAAGTAATCGAATTCCATCCGGGTAACATGGGGGTCAGCGGTCGGACATACTCTGAAGGAGGACATGCCACCGCCATAGACATTCAGCGTGCAGTTGGGAAAGAAATACAGGAATAGGCCATCATCTGACTTGTTCGGGTCCGCGATATGCTGTGAAAAATTGTGCTTGTTGCGCACGGTGTAGAAGGTCGGCGGGTAGTATTTGGAAAAGGATGGATGGGTGTATTGGCAGTGAAGACACTCTTGATATCCATCGACCCTGAAGAAAGTTAATACTAACACAATATAGCAGGATAAGAGATAAGATTACATGGTCTTCCAGTTGAACCGGCCTTCGTAGCTGATGCTACGACGGTGCGGCAGCTTAGTGAAGTCGACTTTACCGAGCAGCTCCTCAAGCTCTGGGAAGAATTCATGGAAACCGGGAGCATTATCGGAGATAGTTGAGAAGAGGAGTCCAGTTGGGGTGAGGTGGCTACGTAGTTCTTTGCCCTGTGAGTAGCAAAATTGTTAGAAGGAACTTGACGTTGCACATGGCTCCCACGTACAGTTTTCATGCAGACAACCTTCAGCTCCTCGGCAACGGGGTTCAAAGCCTCTCCCGTGGTGCGAACAGCAGAGACAGGCTGTTGCGCAACTTCGTACGGAACATGTTCGCCCACAACCTGGAATCTAGTGACAGGGCCGAGCAAGTACCAAGACTGGAGCAGATCTTAGTCTCCTTCAACTGCCAGCAGACTGCGCTACATACTTTGAGAAAGACCGCCCGCCGCTCCATCTGATACAGCGGCTGACTGCAGTACCAAGAGGCGGGCAATGTGCGAGTGAGCTCGGCCATGATATCGATGAAATTAATGAGTAAATTCAAGAATCAAATAAACATTATTGAAATTGTGAACGACAGCGACAGCGAAGCAGTCTCATTTTTATATCGCCACAAATTGCGTGTTGTGCCAATAGAGTAACCCTCGACCTCAACTGATAGACATGAATCTTTTTTCGTGGCAATAATGCTGTCCAACCTTGAGTGCGCTAGAGAGGTTCAGTATATCGTTTCCCAAATAAGTTATCGAATCCCGTTGGTGTCACGTCTGATCACACGGATGACGCACAGATCTAAGATGTTCTAGCCGTGCAAAGGCCCCAGAGATAGGTAGAAGATATTCAGGGTCTTTGGACTTTTATGAAGGAATAATGACGACAAGGGGGGGGAGTCGATGAGGGTGGAAGTGAATATACCTAAGTAGGCATTTCTAGCCTGTCTATGCTAGGGCTAAGTTCAGAAGACAGATGATATCGAGAGAACAAAAATGTTGATTGAAATGTTTAGCGCACTTCCAACGGTTGTTCCAATCATTTGCTGTGGTTTGTTAATTAACGTGGTGATCTAAACATGCCCATCGGAAACCAGGCCACGCAAGATGGCTTTCCCTTTCCGTTTTAGTGCTCACCTCTTGACACCTTTTTTTTGATCGTTGAGTAAAACCAAGGGCGCTTAGGTACATTACATAAGAATTAAAGAATTGCTCATCCAGCAACTTGATCTGGCCTCGCACTTACCGTGACCATTGCGCTCTAACTTACTTCTACGAGGGCAAGGGAATTCCCCTGGCTGGCGACGAACTGACATTTAACTAGATGGATCAAGCTTTCTCTCGCCGCATGGGACAGAGCCTGCGTATGGCGTCCCGTCCGATTTGCTCTTTGTTCATGGCTGCTATCAAGGCCATAGGTTATATGTTTAAATGGTTCCATAATGAGGACATTAATCCCGAGACGAAAACGTTGGACACCTGGCTTGAGAACGACAGTGTGAATTCTCGGGAAAATAAAGAGTAGTAAAGAGTAGTGAGTAGCTTTCTTTCTCTTCGTTTCTTGCTTATCGTTTGGAAATCCTTTTTAGAGTGTGAAAAAGAATTAATGTTAATAATCTTGTACTGGTCTCGACCTCGGAAAGAGGCGTTTCTTCTATAATAATTATTCCTGTTAATTAATTGGTTATTTCATATTACTTCCAGCTTCACTATATCAACATTGAAAAAGCTTTGTAAAGCTGCTTACTTACACCAGCTTGATTTCGCATGGTTTTCGGGGCAAAACACCGCGTAAATCCATGTATTCAACCTTGGTATCGGTAAATATGTATTATAACAATAGATCGAATAGCTGTCAGGTATCTATGGATATATTGCTTAATTGCTTAATAACGTCTCTAAGAGTCCATGAATTTGGCTGCCTGGAGGATCCGAGATGGAGGCGAAAGAGCAGGGAAAAAAAAGAGAGAATGTGTTCAATATCTGCAATTCAAAAAAATTCAAACATCTCAATAAAGACCCAAAGACCCAAAGATCCAGAAATCCAGAAATCCAGAAATCCAAAAAAGAAAGAGAAGAGTGAAAGAAGCATCACCTGCCCAGGTGCCCAGGTGGGAATATAAGGGAAATCAGACGTTCCCGTATCATATCTTATCGGGCAATTACGTCGTCTCCAACTTCCAACTTTCCAACCTTCAACTGAACTTGAAAGGTGGGAACTTCCAAGCAACTCAAAAGTTCCCAAATTTCTATCATGGCCCCGGTCAAATATACTCCTCCTCCTACACCATCACCTCCAGCATCTTGTTACGCCATGAGTGACGACGAAGAAGATGAATATAACACCATAGCCCAGGCTGCCTCGAGCAGAGGGGTTAAGCTGCTCTTTTCCAAAAGCAAAGTGAGACAATTTCCATCAGAGAGGAATGCCAGGCTAACAAGAAATCCAGGTCTACGTTCATCCAACTTCTTCCTCCAAAGATAATATCCCTGGCTTTATCGCCCTCATCCAGCAAAAACCTGCCCCCGCATCACATGCATCCGCGTCTCAATCCAAAAACCCCGATACACCCTCCTATCTCCTCGCATGGGTTCCAGAGTCCTCCCTTGGAGAGGCGTATGATACATATGTGAAAGTAGACCTGTCGGAAGGTGACTCTCCGCCGCGTCAGAAGTACCTCGTTCCGCCGCTTCCGACCACCACCACCTACAAAGACCCTATCGGGTTGTATGCTTTTGCAATTCCGCTATCACAGATATACTCCATATTAGTACGGCCGCCGAGCCTGGGATGGTGGTTTGGTAGTTTGGTGGTCAATACCCGAGCGGGCGATGGCTTCCCCGCACTATTCTTCCATGACGACGAATGCGAGTCAACCATCCTACAGAAGAGGAGGAGGGTCAAGGAAAACTTCGATCCATTTGGCACTGAAGGCGGTTTGTTCTGGGGCGGCGATGAGGTCTTGCGCTGGTTGCGGAGGTATGCGGAGGTGCAGCGCTCTGCGGTGGATGGCAATGTGTACCTCATCAACCCGTCGGATGAGGACCAGTTGTCCTTCGGCCAACCGTTGAGCCACAGCGATAAATCCATATTAGCAAAGGCACAGTCCGAAGCTGCCACCGGATCCCGAGCCGAACCGCCTGATGCCACGATGGATCCATTCATGAAGACTCTCAAGGAGACACGGTGGAAAGTGCTGGAGCAGCTCAGCAAAATCACTACCTTTACCCGTCGAACTGCCAATGAGATTGCAGAAAATCCTCGCATACCGCCTCAGATGCGCCGTTTGATGAAGAACCCAGAGATCCAAACATTGCAAGATGAGTTCGACAGCGCCAGAGTCTATCTGGCTCGTTGGGCGATGAGTGTTGCTGAGCAAAGCGATAAAGAGCGAAACCAGCGTATATGGACCGCCCAGGACATGCTAGAAATGGAGAATAGCTCGGTTGGCGACTTTGAGATTTTAGAGCTAGAGACTGGGAACCTGGCTATCCAGGAGCGACGCCGTGTTCTCCAACTGGAAGAATGGGAGGGCTTTTTCGACCCGACCTCGGGTAGACTCCAAGTGACGGCGGAGGAAGTCAAAGAGCGGATCTTCCACGGCGGCTTGGATCCCAATGATGGCGTTAGAAAGGAGGCTTGGCTCTTCCTTCTCGGTGTGTACTCGTGGGACAGCAGCCGTGAGGAGCGCCAAGCGATGATGAACTCCAAGCGCGATGAGTATATCCGGCTGAAAGCAGGCTGGTGGGAGCGAATGGTCGAGGGCAACTCAACGATCGAGCAGTTTGATCATTGGAAAGAACAGAAGAATCGGATAGGTGAGATTACACATTGAATTCGTTATGGTGGCCACTAACACATGGATATAGAAAAAGATGTTCACCGCACAGACCGTACGATTCCTTTGTTTGCAGGCGAAGACATCCCCCATCCGGATCCTGATTCTCCGTTCGCCGAGACGGGTACCAATGTGCATCTGGAGCAGATGAAAGATATGCTCTTGACATACAATGAATTCAATCCAGACCTCGGGTACGTCCAAGGAATGAGTGATCTCCTGGCGCCGATCTATGCTGTGATGCAAGATGACGCTGTAGCATTCTGGGCTTTTGTCGGGTTTATGGATCGGATGGTATGTTTTTCCACAATGCAAAAGCCGTACTCTCTTACTAATTTCATTGAACAGGAACATAATTTCCTGCGAGACCAGTCTGGAATGCGTGGCCAGCTATTAGCGCTGGATAACCTCGTTCAGCTTATGGACCCCCAGCTCTACTTGCATCTGCAGTCCGCCGACAGTACCAATTTCTTCTTCTTCTTCCGCATGCTGCTGGTGTGGTACAAACGGGAGTTTGACTGGAGCGATGTCCTGCGTCTATGGGAGACATTGTGGACCGATTATTTCTCCAGCAGTTTCCACCTGTTCATTGCACTTGCGATACTCGAGAAGCACCGTGATGTAATAATGGATCACCTCAAGCACTTTGATGAAGTGCTAAAATACAGTAGGTTGACAACTGGACGTAACTGATTTCAAATTACTAATATTGCAATCTCTAGTCAACGAACTCTCCAACACAATGGATCTTGTACCCATTCTCACCCGCGCAGAGTCACTCTTCCACCGTTTTGAGCGTTCCGTACAAGCTATTGACAAGAAAGACAACTTCCCCGCTGCGCCAACCGCATACCAGCGTCGCCCAGGCGCAACCGGCCAAGACTCACCGTCAGGCAGCAAGGGAAAATCACCCCAGCCTGTCGTTGGATCAAGCAGCGGAGTCAACGCTGGCCCTTCTAATCTTCAAAAGGCGATTGACGCCGACAAGCCGAAGGTGATTTCTCCAGAGCTGCGCGAATTACTTCGGAAAGACATTCCCTGGAAACGCCAGCAGAATTCATGATTAGCATCAGGTGCTATGAAATGTTGGGATTGGATGTCTCGCTTGATACGGATTTCATGCTCTCCGGACCGAGTAATGCATTCCTTGCCCTCTTCTAGAATTCCTGGCTGTTCACGATTTACGATTGCCTCATGTATATTCTTTGATTTTTTTAATGACTTGGTGCTGCGGAGTAGAGGGACCTGGGTCAGGGTGTTTTGCCATATCGCACTTTTATTTTGGAATGAATTATACAACGTCTCCATCCACCCGCATTTGAATGCAATGATTATAATATACGGGCTTTAATTGCACTTGTAGACATATCTACAATAGTCACACGTTGTAAAACTACATCCAGTAAGGACCGAAGTAAAAGTGCAGTGAGGATACTCAAAACAAAAAAACAAGGCTGTTCAAACAGGTGCTAAAAATTGAAGCCGAGAACCTCGACTTTCATATGGAAACATAGTCCTTGAGCGACTGAGACCCTCCTGGTACAAACTAAGCTTCTCCAACTGTTTGAGCGTAAGTCGACATATGATGGTAGGGTTCAATCCGATAAAATTACTGTGCATGTGTGGCCCTCCAGCCATTTCCCGTGGTTGGCACCTCCTGTAAACGAGTATCAGATCGGGGATGCGGGTTGGATCGGGCGACGAGAACTTCTTGTGAATGGTGAGTTCGTCCCAGTCTATCCCGGCAGGGATTGGCGCGATCAGTAGGACTCCTGAGCTGTGCTCCCCGAGAAGTATCTCGGTGATTGATAGATACACTCTTGATGAGTAACAAGCCATTTGAAAGTGGAAAGTGGTGGGATGAGTGTAAAAGAAGGAAGGATTCGAAAGTTGGATTGATACTTATTTATGCAATTAGTCGTGTGGAATATTATGTGATTGAAGGTGATATCCCCAAGAGTCTCTTAGTCTCAGCTCATTCTTTGATCAGATCACCGGCATTTGTCATGCCTTTCTTTGTGCTCTTTGACTTCCACAAGGTATATTAGAAGGTCATGAGTAGATTTGTATTATCTAAATGAGGTAAATATAGGCCGTAGGTCCCCGTATACTCGCGCGTTTGCTATATTTAACGATCTATCTTCCTTTCTACTTTCTTTCCTTCCTCTTCTCTTCACCAATTCGTCGCCCTTTTACTGATATCTCTACGCTTAAAAATTACCACTCATTTCCCACCACAATCTTTATTTCCCAATTAAACATGTCTTATCGCAGTCTCGCGAGCTCGAGAATTGCGAGCCCGCGCAGACGCCCTCTGTAGAGCTGCGGACCAAGCTGAAGCTGCGGCCCAGCAGCTGTAAGTCTAGTCTAGTCTACAATTTTGACCCTTACATACTGGTACACGGTCACGAGCTAATCATTACATTGTATAGCGAGCGGGAACTTGAGGATCCCACTCGGTAATCACAGACCAATGTGAATTTCACAGCGAATATTTTCTGTGATGTCTTCTCAACGGAAGTTTCAATTTCCTCCAAGAGGTCATCGGTACAGGATAGGAAATTAGAGTCTCCTCCTTCAAGAGTGTCGATGATACAGTCGTCGACTTGGGTCTGGATCTACATAGTCACAGACATCAGACAATGGTTTTTCTTTCTCGGTTTCTCGTAGAAATTCATTCTTCTCAGGCGGAACTTACGAGTGTTAATACGAGTTCGTAGTCTTATTTTATATGAACAGTTTAACAGTTACATCACGAATTCTCTTAGAGTGTTTCAAAAGCCTCGTTGCAGGCATAACAATATTAGAGAAAATTAGATATTAATTTATACCCGGTACCTAGAATCATAAACACATAATAAATCTCATGTTATGTATGTATGATATATGAATCGAAAAAAAAAAGAAAGGGCCTAGGGGGGAGTCGAACCCCCGGTCTCCGTGTTCCTGTAAACGTACATACAAGCACGGCGCGTTAACCACTGCGCCACTGGGCCAATATCTATTAATAGCCATTTTTTAAGATTGGACTTTATTTTTTTGTTTTTATTTTTTTTTCTGGCCATCGAATCAGGCCATCGAACTCAGCGATCTTGATTACGAGCCCACTACTACGAAGGACATCCCCAGCTCGGCTTCTGACGTACAACTCTACTGCAGGCTTCCTCTCTAAAAGATCCAGATCATCAAATATCCCTACTCGGGTAATCACTAGACTATCCCACTCGCCAGACGGGAACTTGTATGCGTAAAGAGGTGTTCCTCGGACCAAATACCATCAGTTCAGTTTAGTTCAGTTCTTCGCATCTCATCTTTCTTTCTTTTCTTTCTCTCTTCAAGTCAGCCACGCACCGCAATTTGAACAGAAATAATTCTCGATAATATTGCCACTCTCTGCTGGTTTTGTGATCTTTTCCGGATTCCCACTGGTCTTGATTTCAGCGCTTTTAAATATGAGGCTGTATGTATAGAGTGTTCCTGTGAGTTTGCGGCAGTCGGTGCAGTGGCAGAGGCCCTAAACAGAAGACAAGGTGAGTTCTAGTCAAGAGAAATAACAAGTGGCTGGGTTTATAAGGAGAGTCGAGGATTGAGACTGACCGTTGCAACCGGCTCTCCGGTAGATCTAATCCGAATCTTTTCGCAGAAGCAAACGCCGATGGCCATTTTAGATTCATTCCCCGCCTCGCGAACGCAGTCAATGCCGCTGCCTTTCTGGAAAACCAAGCTTGGATGGAATTCGGCAATGAACACATTTGATCTGGCATGTTTGTATACTGGGATATGGGGAGGGATACTTCGATGCCGACGTTCTCAGGTGGCGGTGTCGTGACAGTCTCGATTTTGCTTGGTCTTTATCTGTTTATTCTACTGGGGCTTGGGTATTATTCTACCCGATCCCCTAGATGGACGGAACAGTTAGATTCGTTTGCGATGATGAGGATTGGGGCTTCGGTTGCGGACGAGATCCCTTTACTTGCAGCTGCTGGGTCGAGCCATGTTGCCATTTGGATAAGATACCTGGCATAATGGGGGATTCCGTACCGGAGCATGAGGGAATTGGGAAGCTTACACTTGGAGGATCTGACCCGTTGACAGGCAAGCGGCTATATGCTTCTTACAAATGGAGTTTATAGGTATGGTGTCCTTTTTGAAAGACGTAGTGTATAAAAGGAATAATGGAATATGTATGTCAAACTATCTGTAAATGCAAAGACTACTCTATCAACCAAATAACTGTAGGGTATTGTTGAGCTCTAACACCACACCAAATCCCGAATCAAAACACAAAACCAAGTGAGAACAGATTCGCCACGCTGATGCAAGTAGAAGAGAAGATAAAAAAACCCGAGATATGAAAGGACGGCGCCAAAACATGTACAGCCAAATGTCCATGTCCAAGAGCCCAGGGCTCAGGATGATGCGAAGAAAAATAACTGCAGACCCATCCATAATAGATACAGCAGAGAAATAAAAACAGGGAGAAAAATACGGGAATCAAGAAGATAGGAATTTATATGCAAAGGATCACTTTTGTCGAAGTTCACGGCCTGCGAGACCCAAGACCTTTCAGCACGACCCGCCTGCTTGTGCCAATAGATCCTATATCGCCAATGCTGCGGACCTTGGGTAAGGAGTGTCCAACCACGCTGCCGTCGCCGATGTCAAATCGGTCATCGGCATCGTGATTAGGCGGCATGCTCAATGCAAACTGGGGTGGGTTGTGAGAGCTAGAGCGGCGGGTCTTTTGGAGGACATCTGCAACCCAGGCTTCACCCTCTGGGCTCATCGATTCGTACCGAGCACGTGGTTTGGGCCCAGCTAATCCCAGTGGGGTGGAGCGGGATTCATTGGCGGTCGAGGTAGTACCAGTGTTGTTGGGGGAGTGGGCGTCGCCGACTGAATGGCCCGAAGACACCGAAAGGCGTCTGCCGGTAGAGGAAGGGAGAGGAACGACGGTAGGTGGGGGTGAGGTGAAGGAGGAGAGGTGGCCTGTTGTCACTGCCCTGGTACCCATCACATCAGATGCGGTTGAGGCTCGGCGTTTCTTGTGAACGGTAAGGGATGAAGGTGGCCGGGCACTGAGCACGGATGGTGGTCGGGAGGGGGTAGCCCGACCGGAGGCAAGATGTGAGGTAGCTGGGGTCAACATAGTACCCGGAGAAGCGTAAGACGGCGATGAACGTGTTTTTATACCCTGCACCTCCACACGGGGAGTTTCAGACACCTTGCGGCGACCATGATGAATGACATATTCGCGAAGGTATTCACCGAGGTCAGCCCATCCACCGCCGACACGAACCATCACTCGCTGTCCCTCTTCTCCAACGGTGCGAACGAACAGCTTTGTCGGTGCGGACTGGCCCCCGTGATGGAGGTGATAGAGTTTGACACAGCTGTCCTCTGTCTTGTAGGCATGAGAGTGCCGTCTCCGGGAAGCGGCCATCAAGGTCAAAGAAGGTGCGGGAGTGTTGCTACGAGTTGGGCCAGTGGGGGATTCGGATCTGTGCCGCATTCGTCGGTCCAACGATGAGGATGACGAGGATGTGTCTGCTTCGTGGTTGGAGTCGACCAGGTGGATATGACCAGGCAACGAGTTGAGAATCGAGTTAATCTTTTCATCGAGCTGGTCTCGCGGTTGCTTGCTGTGTTTGTTTGGCGAGGAAGGGCGGAATCCGAAATCGGTGAGTTCAGACTCATGCTCTTCTACATAGGACAGCTCTTGTCTTTTCACACCTAGACTTTCAAGACTTGGATGGGCAGTCAGTCGCTGTCGCCAGCGGACAGACTTGGGCTGAAGAAGGTGCTCCATGGCTCTTCGGGCGGAATTCATTCCGAATGTCTTTTTGTTTCGCTCCGCTATTTTTTCCATCTCGTTTTGAGTGTTCAAATCAGTTGCAGACTTTTCTCGGGACAGTTGATGACGGCCGGTAGGGAGACGTGGAACTGGTGGAATGGATGTAGTCGATGTATCCTGGAATGTGGTTTTGCTTCGTGTCTAGGATAATCAATTAGCGAAGGGCATATAATCAAATGGACAATGGCTTCACATACCTTTGGGGGTTTGGGAAAGTCGGTAGATGTAACAGAGCGTGTCCTAGTCCTAGACGGTTTCACACTAGCCACACCTGGCGCCGACTCGCTTCCCAGACCCAACCCCAAGCGCTCGTTGATAAATCGCTCGAGGGGCAGGCTGACCGTGCGACTTGGTTGGAAACTGATGCGCGGGTCAGGCTTCTGGTTTTCCAAACGACGCAGACGATCCTCTCTCAAAGTATAGCCCTCATGTGAAGGAGGATGTATAGGTTCAGGGTGAGATGATGTCCCAAGAGGCGTTACATTAGAGGGATCAGTGCGCGGCTCAGGTATCTCGGGACTGGATATGAGAGAAGAATGGTCTGAAAGCAAGGAGCCCACCGATCCAGTAGATGTCCGACGACGATGCGTAATTTTGTGCGCTACTGTGCCATCTTTATCAAGATCAGGCTTCCCTGCGCGGAATTTGGAAAGTTTGATAGGGCTCTGTAACGGCTTGCGAACGGTCCGTTGACAAGGTTCTGCTTTCCCTTGATTCTGCAGGTGGTGCGACTTGATGGGCGTAGGGTTTGAGCCTGACTTGGGTGATGCGACAAGCATGGGTATTTGGGAAACCCTGCCAGACGACCTCGATTTCGGTACTCGGATTTCTGACCAGTTTGGTGTGAGGACTGGAGAAATAGTTGCTGCTACCGGAGTATCACTTGATTTCGGCACTGGGATTTCTGACCTGTTTGGTGTGAGGACTGGAGAAATAGTTGCTGCTACCGGAGTATCACACTGGTTCTGTCCACTCGGCCCATTCAGGGATCCAGGATCTTGGGAAACAGGAGAAGTGGTAGTTTTAGGCTCGGGGTTGAGCCCTGTTAATGTGGACTGTGGAGAAGGTTGTTTTTCCTCCTCATTGGTATTATTTTGTCTTTCATAGGCCACAGTATCACAAGGCAAGTCTTCGCGACCAGCGGGGGCATTCAGCTCTTCCGCGGCGGGTACACCGGCAGAAACGACAACCTCAGGAAGTTGGACTTCCATTTCAGATGCAGGGGAATCTTGAATGCAAGGATCTTCAGCCAGAGCACTACGCTCGGACAATGGGCTTGGTCTTGCCGAAGCCTGGCTGGGGGGTGACACAGTTCCATCAAACTGTTGGAAGCCGGGCGGAGGAATATTTTCTTTGTTTTCCAAGGTGCGATCGATTGCGCAAGGTGTATGTGCAAGAGCTGAAAAGGGCCGCCGACTGATTGCAGGAGTTGGTAGAAAGTCGGACTGTGTTGGAGTGTCTAGGTCCTCTGCCACGACCACGGATGTGAGATCTTCTTGCTTCTCTTCAATTGGAGACTTCGATGGAGGTATCGAGAGTTGTAGGTTTGGCGAAGCATTCCCTTCCACACAGTCTGCAGGAAGAGGTGTCTCTTCGAGAGGCGCCGTTGATTCTTCCACAGATTGTGGGCTAATTGGCCTTAGATCACCGGACGAGAGTTTAAGGTCACACTCAAGTTCAGGCTTATGTTCGATGGCCTGCTCCTGAGGGGAACTGAGATTATCCGAAGGTTCCGATACAGCTATATCGGATGTTTGGTCTTTCTCTGTTCTCTTCAATGACTCTGCGCGCTGGAGATCGGCTGCGCGCATCTCCGCCATTTGAGACTCAGCTTTGGACCGCAACCACGCGTTGTGAACCTTGTATTTATCAGCCTCCACGACCCATACAGCAAAGTCAGACTCAATGGCTTCTAAGTCATCAATCCATTGTTCGGGCAAAGAATCCGGACGACCCTCCAACGCGTCGAGAACCCGGTCCATCCGCCTCCCCACAGCCACAACTGCAGACTCCAGTTTAACATGATCGACAGCTAGGGATGCATCGGAGGATTCGCTCGGGTCGGAGGCAGAAGACTGTGGGGTTCGTAAGGCGTGGAGGGACGAGTCGAGGGCGGAGCGGGTCAAGCTCAGCTCTCTCAGCAAACCAGGAATTTGGCGTAAGACAAAGATGCGAACTTCCCAAGTGGCAAGTAGGGCATTCAGTCGCGATAGATATGGGAGAGCTCTGAGAATGGTCGCGGTAATGACAGCTGTGAAGTCACTCAGCTGTACATAGCTAAGCGGCGGAGGCACGGACACGCAGCTTGTGGCGGACGAGGGCCGAGACCGGGATGGAATGTGGGCATTCAAAACGTGTTCCTTTAATTCTTCCACGTTAAGATCGTCCATTCCATCGCGGATTTCATCGGCTCTCCTCTCGTATCTTTCGACCACGCTGGCTAACAAGCTCCCATAGTAGCTTGCCTGGGTGTTGCTAGGGGGAGCCAAAAGCCCCGAAGGGGTGAGATTGTCCCCAGAGTGCGACTCAGATGGAGGAATGAAACCCATCCCAACCTTCGCGTCGCGCTGATTTGGCCAATTCCATGATTGGACCTCTTTGTACCACAAGTTCAAGTTCTGAGCAGCTACCGCCGCGCGTATCCCTAGGGCGCGTTCTGACGGCGACACCTGGGAGATGCTTCTTGAGAGGATATCATGGGCGGCTTTTTCATTCGAAGGGACTGCGTCGGTCGATGTGAGGGCTTGGAGAGTTGATTCGGGAGAGAGATTGCTGAGGAGAGGGTCTAGTTGCTGGTAGATGGAGCCAGGTATTCTTTCAAGTGAGGTTGAGCGCGAGTCATTTCGGAAGTGGGAGGGGGAGAGGTGGATGAAAGGGTGATTCGGATTTATTCGACTGGCCGCCATTCCGAATAGATGCTCAGCCTAAGTCGGGGGGAATAAAGTCACAGGGAGCCTCGACTGGCTCGAGGATGGCATGTAAGTGACGGACGTCGGAACGAGGGCGGGAAAGAGGACTGTCGAGCCCGCATGCTGAGACGCGCGTCTTAAGAAAGTGCAGAACTTGGCAAGCAATACGCTCTTGAAGATAAAGAAAAATAAAGAAATGGAAAAATGATCGGAGGTTAACGAAGGAGGTCGAGGTACAAGGTGAGAAGAAGCGAGGGAGTGCGGAGAGAGTGGATGGTGGTAAGGTGGGCACAAATGAGCGACAAGGAGCGAAAGACCGGCTTTCTGATCACAATTGATATCAAAACAATAGTTTCGGAAGATTTTCTGAAGTTGAATTTATTTTGAAGTGGAGATCTGATCAGGGGAAAGGCCCTAATGTCTTTTTAGTGGAGTTGCCGATATGAACCATCGCCGGGTGATCCGCCGGGGAAATACTACAATACTACACAGTACATTTCTTCAGTTTTTATACGGTATACACATCTAAATTGGATATCCAAGATTGCAGAATTTCAGAGGGCTGGAAAAAAAAGAAGAAAAAAAAAAGAGTAATTCTGCGGGTTCAATCGACGAAAAATAGAGAAAAAATTCCTGGAAGGGGATACAAGGCTATTTGGAAATAGCTTCAACTATAGACGCAAGGAGTAATATTTAAATATTTGTCCAATTATTTCCTATATACTCAGTATACACTCCGTAGCAGATATTGATATCATAAAGCTAAAACAAATTACCTATTCGATCAATTTCTACAATCATTATGTGGTCATGATGGCGTTGAACTGATGGCGCACATCCAAACCCTGGAATAGGACCCGGGAATATCCCCGAGACTCTTCAGAATTGCAGAGCTGCAGAGCTGCAAAAGTATCTTCTGCCAAGTTAGTCGATCATCATGCAAGGGTTTCGCTATCGCCCAGAACTTCTGGAAGGTCTTCCCGAAGCGCTCACTACAGAGCTCAAGAAATATGAAGATTGGTTCTTGCTTGAGCCACCCAAATTGAAGGCGATCACAGATCACTTTGCCCGGGAGCTTGAAAAAGGTCTTACCGTTGAGGGTGGATCGATTGTCAGTACCAATTGACCCAGGGCGATTTGCAAAGTAGATGCTAACGGGAATGGTGGCGTGGATTGAAGCCTATGAACGTCACATGGATCATGAGATATCCAACAGGCCAGGAGAAAGGACGCATTCTCACAGTTGACCTGGGAGGAACCAATATCCGTGTATGTGATGTCTGTCTTTCCGCAGGCAAGAGAGACTTCGAGCAACGTCAGAGGAAGTACAAGCTCCCGGGGGAAGTCAAGAGAACCACAAAAGAAGCCCTGTGGGGTTTTATTGCGGACCGAATCGAGTCGTTCCTTACTGAAAGTCAGGGTGATATCAGTGCTTCAAACCCACTACCAATGGCGTTCACATTCTCATTCCCAGTGGAGCACAAGTCCATCCGCAGTGGGGTTCTGCAGCGCTGGACCAAAAACTTCAATGTTTCCGGGGTGGTAGGACATGATGTAGTACCTCAGCTGGAAGAGCAGCTTGCAAAAAGGGTAATCTCATGTTGAATACCAAGAGAGTCGGAGCTGACCAAACTAGAACATCCCAGTGAAACTGGTCGCCCTCGTCAACGACACAGCGGGGACCCTTGTCGCGTCGCGTTACCAGGATCCACAGGTAAAAATTGGTAGCATTTTCAGCACTGGCTGTAATGCAGCGTATATGGAAGAATGCCGGTTGATCCCCAAGCTACGTGATTTAGGATTGCCTGAAGATGCAACTGTAATCATCAACACCGAGTACGGCTCATTTGATAACGAGCGTAAGGTGCTGCCCCTGACTCCATTTGACCGCCAGATCGACGAAGAATCTGCCCACCCAGGCAGGCAGATTTATGAGAAAATGGTGGCTGGTTTATACATAGGAGAGATGCTGCGCCTGGTGATGCTGAAAATGCACGAGGAGGGCGTACTGTTCAAGGGCCAAGACGTCTCGCGTCTTCGGACCGCGAACTCATTGGAGACATCGTTTCTGTCTACTGTCGAGTTGGACATGTCAGAAAGTCTGACCGACATGAAAGAGGAGTTCAAAGAGAGCCTCAATCTGGAACTCTCGCTAGACGAACTGAAGGCGTGCCGTCATCTTATCGGCCTGATCGCGATGCGTGCAGCGCGTCTCTACGCGTGTGGGATTGCGGCCATCTGCATCAAGAAAGGAATCCGTCAGTGCCACGTCGGGGTTGATGGCTCGGTGTTCAGTAAATATAGTATGCTGAAGGGACGGGCAACCCAGGGTCTCCGTGATATTTTTGATTGGGATCCAGGCAGATTGGACTTGATTGCTATGAACTCAGCCGAGGATGGGTCTGGAGTAGGAGCAGCTTTGGTTGCGAGTTTGACTCTTGACCCGAGTGAGCTAGAAGATTGTAACATGGAGGATATGTAAAATTGAATGTCATCGAGCTGTTCCAAAGTTGTGAGAAGAGCGGATGTTGTAGATGTAGATCGTCATCTCTGCCATGAACGATAGCGATAAGCACTTTAATTGTGGTCCATCCTCCTCCCTCCATCCTCAACTCACACAATGCGCTTCCGAACACAGTTAAGAGACAGCAGGACCTTCTCCAGTAAGACTAATCGATAAAAACAAAGGGATTTATGCTAACTAAATCAGAGCTCACCGCGTCACTGTCGTCGCTGGGCAAGGTATGTTGGATGCGCCTGGAGTACGAAGTCATCCGCTTTACCATCATACCCGACCAAGGCACACAAGTGTGGGCATCAATACCAGTCGTATGCATAATAATATAAAACCTTTCGATCATATGATCTATAAATTAACCGTTTCCCAGGGAACTATTTTCGATGACACAACCTACGAGCTAGAGTCCAATTCCGACGCCATCAACATCGAAGTCAACATTAGCGTGCTAAACCGAGCCCTGCGCTCCGCTTGGGGCTCAACACATTCACAACTCCGCCTAACCAAAAAAGACAAAACCCCTCTCTTAGCACTAACAGTCCTCGCATCAGAATGGACAGAGGGAAACATGGCTTTGGCCACCAATAATGACGCAGACGGCTTTGGCGACGACGCAAACCCAGAAGCTCCAGCCGACACGACAGGCGATCGAGGACCACGCGAGCGCCAGACATGGATCACGCAAGAAATCCCGATCAAGATCCTCCATGAGTCAGCAGTCGAAGGCCTGCACGAGCCGCACTGCCCAGACCCCGAAGTGCACATTATCCTACCCAATCTAGCACAGTTAAAGAGCATATCCGATCGCTTCACGAAACTCGCTTCAACAGATAGCAAAAGCCGACAGCTGGGTGTGATGGCGCCCGAAGCGCCGGGGATGCATTCCGTGTCTTTCAGTGGGTCGGGCGCTAGCACAGCTGCCACAGCACTGTCCACCAACTCGTCTCCCAAGCTGGAATTATCTGCCAATATGCATGGCTCGCTACGGCTTGCTATTGCTACGGATGAGCTGCGTATCGCGAGTGTCTGGTCTGATCTCGTGAACCCGCCATTGGACCCTGCGCAGATGACCCAGGAGCAGATGAGCCAGCTTCCAAGCGAGCTTAATCGGAAGCGGGAGGCAAGTGAGGGATTCGAATCTGGTTGGGCGAAGGTGCGGATCGATGGAAAGGATTGGAGTCGGGTGCTCAGTATTGGGAGACTCAGTCCCAAGGTTGTTGCATGTAAGTTGACCGATTATCCTTGGAATTGCCGCTCGATAGTGCAAGTGCTCACTCGATTCCTCATTCGCTATGGTTAGGCTTCATCAATGAAATGGCATTGGTTCTTTACGTTTATCTGCCAGGTAATCGGGATGGAGAGGAATCCTGTTTAACGGTGAGTTGACATTGGCCCAAGAATGCATTCATGCAACAACCAAGCCTTCTAACAGTCATGTTTCAGTATTATATCAATTCATTCACCACATGATGCTGTGGTGAAATTTGAGCTACGATGTCCATCTTCCAAAAGTTCAGGTGTTCAAAGGTCGGAATGAATTATTAGATATCGTTATTAAGACAGGTGCATGTCAGAAGCCATGCAAGAAGACTCCAGTTCCAGAAAGTTCCAGCAAGCAACAAAATGCAAGGCCAGAATAGAACAGCAAGGGGAGGAGGTTGATATACATAATGCCAGGAGTACAAGCCCTTGACTCCATGGATGAGGTCGCCCCAAAGAACAACAAAGATCAAGCTATGTGCAAAAAGCAAGGCATCGGATGATGTTCAGTGAGCGACAATGCAGAGAGATGGCGTGTCTGCCGGGGCAAGAAACAAGACACATGCAGGATGCTGGGGCAATGATAAATCTAGTAACAGGGGGGTGTATTATCGAAGGGTAGGGGGCAGGGGGTAGGGGATGCGCTTCATCAAAGAAATCATATGATAACAAATAAAAGGCATAACAATGAAACAAATATAATGAAACAAAAGAAAAGGACATTATAGCACTCAGCTAGTCGGGAGACTAGTGAGCACTATAGTTATTATCGGCCATTCAGGTAAAGTCTGATGATTATTGAGCCATCACGTCAACGTAACGGCCCTTCTTCTTGCCGCGAACCGTGTTGCCCTTTCGCGCCTGGGGCGCGCCGATCAAATCATCGATTGAGCTAGCATGAGTCAAGGACGAAGAAGGCCGCGGCGGCGGGCCGCTGGAACTACCGGGCGGTGTTGGCATAGCCGCTCCCGTAGAAACGGAGCGAGGCGCGAGGCCAGATAAGCCTGGGCTGGAGGACAAGAAAGGCGAGGGGGCGGTTGAGGAAGATTGAGGCCGGCTGCCAGAGGCCGACATTGGGGGCATCGGAGGCATGGGAGGTGCACCGTTTGGTGGCATACTGCCCGAGCTTGCAGTCCGACTGGGAGGAGCGGATCCTCGAGGAGGGGGTGGGGTGGCATGAACCGGTGCGCTACTACCGGGATCTTTCTTGTTGACCCATTTCTTTAGATCCTTGTCGTAGTAAAAGGAGCTCTCTTCGCCAAGTTTGGCTCTGATGGGACCGCCACCGGTGTTGTTTTCCTCTTTCTTGGCTCCGCCGAACCAACCACCAAACCAGCCCTTCTTGCCAGATTTTTGGGCATCCTTCTTGGCTATAGGAGAAATCGGATTAGCAAGTGAGTTAAGCGATAGGCGTCCTTGATACATACCATCTTCCTCGGCGGCTTTCGCGAACGCTTCATTTGCTTTTCGGTCGTTCTCCGCTTTTTGGATAGCCGCTGCCCGGGCAGCAAGGTCATCATCGTCGTCATCCATGATCGACTGCTTCTTTGGCTGCTCTGCGGTAGGTGGCAGATCCTCTTCCTGGGCAACATGGCTCATATCTGCATCAGCTGCAACCGGCTCGTAAGAAACTGGTTCGTAGGAAACCGGTTCGTAAGACGAGCTGGCAACGGGAGGTGCGTAGGGTGGCTCTGAGTCTGGTATATCAGCTGGCATACCGGGAGGGCATTGGTAATAGGGGGATTCGCTGGATGTGGCAGCCTGTCCTGGAGTCTGGTAAAAGAGGCCATTCACTATGGGTTGTGCAGCTGGAGGGGCTTCAGTGGGTGGTGACATAGCTTCTTCTACCGGAGCAAGAGGAACGTAAGAGGACTGGGGCGGTGTTGGTTGATATCCACCCACGTTTGGCGACCCATACACTGGAGCTCCATAGGACATCTGTTGATCAATCGAGGGCGAGAGTTCTTGTGAGCTTCGACGTTGTCCAACAGGCGGGAAGTAGGAAGCGGATCTCTGAGAATCCATCGAAGATCGGCCCTTGAACTGCTCGGGCGAGGCATTGGGCGCATATTGGCTGGATGGGTGATACTTGGATGTGCCGCTGGTGGGAATAGGCTGCGCTCCTACCCCTGCTCCAGGGTAAGAACCGTAGATGTCGGATACAGAAGGGGAGCGGCTAATTGTTGGGGTGCCAGCCACGTTTGCAAAAGGCCCAAATTCCGCATGCTCGCCACCCTTGCCGGATCCAGTCGATGCAGCATCACTATCATCACCCACCACGAAGCTATTGAAACGAGCCCACATAGACCCCGAGACCTTCTCCATGCTTGGCCGCGAGATCCAAGAACCACTATCGCTGGTTGTCTGGCGCAGACGTGCAGACAGCTCTTCAACTTCCGCAAAGAGGTGCTGGTGATAGTACGGCGAGGGGCGAGTGGTTGCTTTCAATGCCGCCGCCACTGCATCGCAATAGCCCTGTGCCTCTAAATTGCGACCCTGGTCTACGAGGCACCTGGCATTCAGGACCTTGAAAGCCAAGAAATGTGGCAGATGGGCTGTTGGACAGTTGCCGAGAACAGACGTAGCATATTCATAAGCCTCAGTCAGCAAGATAGCATCCTGGTCCATCAAGGAAGAAGGGTAACGCTGATGGTCAGCACCAAGAAGAGTGACGTTGGCCGTTGCGTCGTCGGGGCCACCGAAAACCGCAGCACGGGAGAAAATGTAACAAACATGAGCCGCCTCTGTCCGTCCATAAGAAGTAAGCAGGTGACCGAGGGAGAACAGGGCCTGGTGATCTTCAGAACTTCGGTTACTCAAAACCAGTCCCAGGGTGTCCCTCCACTTGTCTAAACCCTCGAGAGCATTCTTAGTAGAGCCCTGGCCATCGGCCTTGCTAATAAGTTGCAGACCTGCTCGGGCAGACGGAGGAACAAGCTCGTCGATACTCTCTTCAATATTGCCAGCGAAGATCTCGTAGAGGGCGGCAAGTGACTCGGTGTTTGCGGATTTAGACCTGACCTCGCGGCGAACAAACTCCTGCGCAACCTGTTTCGAAATTGACCTGTCCATGGTGGATGAGATGATCATCGCATGTCCCCAAAGGCGTCGATCGACAGCGCTCCAAATGGCTTTCTCCCGATCGCCACAAATCAAATGCAGGCGAAGCTCCTCCAACCACTGTGCATCAACGGCATCAGGCTGCGAAGGCATTTCTGAAGGGGCAAACCCTCCAGAGGCGGCTAAACTGCTGGTGTATGATCCGTCTGCGTCGGGGTTGGGTAGATTGGGGAAGATGATCTGGCGGAGAGATTTTTGAATTTCAGGCGAACTCTCCAGATTACCGTCATTCTCCACAAGAAGCTTGACAACCTTCCAGAGGAGAGTTTTTTCCTCCTGGCGTTTGTGCGTATCGGACTGAACCTGTTGGTAGCTTGGAAGATCTGAATGTTCGAAGGCCGCAATTTTGCTAGAAAGCCAAGCAATCAATTCCTTCTTCTTTGACTTTGCCTTGAGGGGTCCAGGGTGCTGGACAATGCTATCAGCGGAGGGCAGCCATTCGCTCAGCTGGGAGATTTTTGGTTCACCGAGAGTGGGTTGAATCATTGGCGCCACTTGGCCAGCGGAGTAGCGAGGAATGTGCCTAGGGAAACAAGATACGACGGATCCACCGAACCCGAATTTGAAGATCGGGGCACCCTTCCATCGCTGCAGGGGGTCATGTTCTTGTCCATCATTCGGACCGATAAATTCAAGATGCTGCGTTGGAGCGCGGGTTTGAGAAGCAGCCTGCAGAGGGGCATACGGATTCACGGTTTTAGTCGGCGAGCCTGAAGCTTGCACCGAAGCCGGACGTTGGAGGGTATCAACATTCTGTCCGTAGGAACGGGGACTCGTCAAGTCCCGGGCAGGTGACTGGGTCTGAGACCTGCGAAGTGGACCCATCTGGATATCGCTAGGTGGTGGAGACATGTACACATTCGTCGCGGGAGCAGGAGGAGCGTGTTCCGGAGCCGGCGCGAGGCGCTGGGCGAATTCATTGAGATATTCCTGAGGGGCATAGCGACTCTGAGGCGGAGATGGGTGTACAGGTGAGCCTGCACTTTCTCTCCGGGGTAGGCTGGCAGAACCATTGAGATATTGCTGGGCACTAGGTGGGATTTGTCCAAAACCAGCTCCTTGCCCGCGCGGCGGAGATAGATTGATCGCAGGCTCGAGAGATGGTGGCTTGTGAGATTGATCAGGCTGGTATGAAACCTTCTCGTGGTGTGCAAGCGGACTTGACGTCCGTGGTTGGAATGGCAAATTTTGGCCAGGAACATTAAGTGGCTGTGAGGCATAACGATTGCGAGCGGAAGAGGTAGTCGGGGGCGCAGGGGAATATCTCGGCAATGAAGGTGATCTTGAGGGTGCTTGCAAGCCAGGAGGTTGGGGAGAATACCTTGCAACGGCAGGAGGTCCGGCTGGGGCACTCGATGCTAGGCTGGCATACGGGTCCAACTGTTCAGGCGGCTGAAGTGTGGGTTGGATTGGGAGCGCGATAGGCTGCGGGGCTGGTGGTGCGGCAGGGGCATATTGAACCTGGGGAGGAGGAAGAGACGGCCCGGTCATCGTTGGCGCCGCCTGCGGATTAGGGGTGTACCGACCAGAGCTGGCCGGCCTAGACCTAGGTGTCGCCAGAGGAAGTTCCTCGTAGAAATTCTTCGGTGCAGGGGGAGCGGACACAGCTGACGGGAGAGCTGCCGGAGTGGGGAAGCCAGATGCAGCCGAAATCGGTACGCCAGAAACACCTGGGGGAGGAGGTGGGGGCATACTAGTCACTGCTGGAGGAACAGGCTTGTGGGTCACAACCGGCTTTCGAGGTCGTGAGATATCATCTGGAAGGTCGTAAGGAGATTTGTAACCCTGTTTTGACCGCTCAGCAAAGCTCTCTCCCCTGATTGCCACGGGGTTCTGCGGTGGTTGCGAGAAGTATGATGACATGGCTCCGGTGGCTGGCGGCGCAGTGCCTGGGAGAGGAACACCCTGCAATAGATCACCAGTGGACGGTTGGTGGGGGGTGTATACGTTAGGAACAGGTCTTGGCTGAGAAAAGGCCTGAGGGGTCTGGAACGGACTGTTCAAGCCAGCCGACAGATCATTGTTGGTAGGCTCTACAGGGGTTCGATGGATGTGATCATGTGCAGAGACAGACTGAGAGGCCTCAGTCT